ACAACGCTGCTCCGTTTCAAGTGAAAGCCCCGGTTCAGCAACCTAAATACATGGGACAACCACGTGCTGCTGCAGCACCTAAAAAACCTGCTTACGTCAGTAAATCTATAAAGAAAAATGATCAGAAGATCATTGAAGAACCAGGTTAGCAGACAGAGATTGCCATTTACTGTCGGATTGAAATTAACTCTTTTCGTTTCTTGTCTATTTTGTTTATCGGATGGGTGTGTTTTTGTTTCAGGTAAATCTATATTTGTGGCAAATCTGCCATTGAATGCAATGCCGCCCCAACTCTATGAACTGTTCAAGGATTTTGGTCCTATCAAAGAAAACGGGATTCAAGTCCGAAGCTCCAGGGTTTGATCTTTGATCTCTCGTATCTTTTTGCTATTTCTACTCATCACCTCTCCTAGAATCCTTACATGAATTCTACATTTTTCTTATGTGTCCAGGGCAATGCTAATCCAGTTTGCTTCGGGTTTATTGCCTTTGAATCTGCTGCCTCTGTCCAGAGCGTGCTTCAGGTAACTAACTACAGATACCAGTTTCTTGTTTCCCTTTTAAAAGTCTCTGAATTTCTAATATTCAAACTCTGTCAATTCCAGGCTACCAAGAACACGCCCTTCATGCTTGCAGACCGTAAGCTTCGTGTAAAGGAGAAGGAAGGTAAGCTTCTCTTTCCTTAACCCCCGCCTCTTAATCTAAAATCATCGGTTTCTAGCGTGCAAGGCTGAATCTTCCTCTTGCAGTTGACTATGATGGAAGCAAACCTTCTGGGAAAACCAAAGGTGGAAGCAACAAGATTCAGAATGGCTCTGCAGATGGCAGCAAGACTGAGATTAGCTCTGCAGATGACAGCAAGACACAAAACGGCTCTGCAGAAGATGGCGAAGATGAGTTCAAGCAGGTCAGAAACCGTAGGAATATTAGAAAAAACCGGAATGCAAATGGAGACAATAACCAAAAAAAAAGTGAAGGAGGAGCCCCTAAGGTTCAAGCAGCTTGATGATACTCTCCTCTACAAACACCAACACAAGAACAACACTTACAATTTGGAGCTTTCTTAGAAAATTTATTATTTCAAGAGTTTGCAAATTGAGATTATTTTTCGACATTACAAATTCATATATCTTTATTTCTTTAGGTTTTCTTTTTTGTTTTCTTCTTATGGAACTCAACATAATTCTTCTTTTCACCAGTCATTTTCTTCTGTCTTTTTGTTTTTTTTCTTCTTATATTCCAATTTTTATTATTCGAGTATTCACGTTAACGTATATCCTATGGTTTGTTCCGTTGCGAATCAAGTCACTTTGAAGAAAAATAGTAATTTAAGATAAGCTATATGAAATCTGGTCTAATGTTGCATCATTTCAATATTTGTAATTTCTAAAGAAGCAAAGAATTTGTAATAAACAAGTAATTAGGAGTTGTAAAAAGAAGTAATTTAGCAATGCTTGATAAAGAGAAAACAAATAATATGCGAATGCGACACCTCTCTCTCTCTCTTGTCTCCCACGTCAACGATTTTGCTAGATTTGATTCCAATCTCTTTTCCAGCTTACCTACCTTTTCTCTCAGAAAATGTGTTAAAAATGGCTTTATCTTTTAGGAAATTTTTTCCCTTTTGGAAGTAATTTCCTAATTTCTTAGCAATAGCAAGAACCTAAAAAGGAAATGACCATAACATTTTATAATGTAAAAGGATTAAAAAAAAAAAGGTCATTATCATCTTACAATGATATAAGAATTCTTTTTCAAAACTTATTAATGTATCCATGGTTACTTATGATTTTTTCTAAACCAGTTACTTTTGATTTATCATTAAATTCGAAAGTATAAAAAACCATTGGACTCTAATCCATTATGAGAATTTTTTTCCCTCTCCTAACAAACTTTTTTTTTTTGTCATCCGAAATTAAATAGGGCTCAAAAGAACCATTTCACTCTCCTAAGAAACTGAACTCATAAAAAATGTCAAAATATTCTCGAAAAACTCAAAATTTCTCATAAATAAAATTCGAAATATTTCTCCTCACAATTATATTTTATATATAGAATCCTTCCCAAAAATAATTATTGCATAATACTCATTGGTTTTACTTTTTTATGGGCTCAAGTTTTGTTCCAATTTTTTTGATATATGAAGGTCTATAAATATATTGGATGCAATGAAAGTTCATTCTAAGAGAACAAATTACATTCTACTACAATTTCTCAGAAATTTTAGAACCTCTCTACATAAGTTGTTTGAATCCTTTTTAAAAGGATAGATTTTAATGAGTTAAATAAAAAAATTAGAACCAAACTAAAGTAATTAAATTCTTTACTTACCAATCCGTTGGAGACACGTGACCCCTATGGCAATAACTTATAAAGCGTCCTCCGCCATTACCCATCACACAACACCTATTAGCTTTGATGTGTGGTGGACAGTGGACTTGTAGTGATGATGAGTGGCCTAGATTCATTATTCTTTTTAGAATCATACAAGAGTTTCAGCCTTTTTTGTAAACAAATAAACAAAACATGAATTTTGTATAAGAGTTTTGGCTTAAAATGTTTTGTGGTTGAAATTTTAAATTTAATTTTGCATTAAATTTACGTGATTCTACAAAATTGACGATTTATCTGCTAATGTATCTCTATCATTGATACTAGTATAAAATCCTATTACAAGAGAATACTTCGAATAACTGAATATTTTTATCGAATCTCGAATTTCGACTATTATATACTCCCTCCGTTTTCGAATAGTTGTCCTTTTAGAGAAATTTTTTTGTTTTTAATTAGTTGTTGTTTACAGTTTTTCATGCAAAATTTATTACTTTTTTATTTTTTATATTTATTTTTATTATGTACCTTGATTTACTATTGGTTAAATTATGTTTAGGTAGATAATTAATGATATTTTTATATTGAAAAACTAACAACATTAATAGTTTCTTAATTTGTGTGCATATAATTAAAACGACAACTATTCGAAAACGGAGGGAGTATTTAGGTTGACCATTAGTAGATATCGTAAAAATGATCAAAACATAAATATGTAATCTATAGTTTGTATTATTATTAATTGTTAGTAAAATTTCAAAGACGACAATACGCTGAATTTTTTCATTTGCGCAAAATTACTGGAAATATTGGAGTGGCTTTTTGCCGATAGCTAAATGTTTGCCATGTTTATCGAGTCATGGCTATTATTATTTGTGTTACCATTCTATTCATTTTAATTTTAAAGACAAGAAAGAAAAAAAAAAAACTCTGGTCTTCTAGTTTCTACGATAGACTCTTCACTCATAATTTATCTGGTTCAAAAGGGTCTCTAAGTGTATAACTGTATATGTACATTACGAAATCAAGACTATAGTATAAAAGCATGATTCACGTTCTAACATGAAGTAGATAGATAGGATTATTAAAAAAAAAAAAAAAAAAAAAAAAAAAAAAAAAAAAAAAAAAAGATAGGATGATTTTAAGAATAATACAAGAAATGGATCGGAGGATGTTAGACACGCAAGGATCCACACACCCACTAGGACACGTGTTTACATGTCCGAGCGCTGACATGCTTCACGTTCCCGCGACAGTTCGTTGTCACGGTGTAAGAGGAGGTCTCTCAGATCTCTGAGCTGGCCATATAGGACCACGTACCTTACCCTTAGCCAATGGGGAACGCTTAATATTATAGAATAATAACTTTGTTTTTGATAAAATTAATATTGGTTCATGCGATGAAGATCACGTTCAATTAAGGTTATAGAGGAAATCGATATCTTAGAATTTTCAAGACTTCGGATATATATAGATTTGCAAATTTACTTATTTAGATTAAGATCATGCCCATATATAACTCATAAATATTATGCTCAAATTTGAAAATCATAAAGAAATCAAAGTGATAAATTAATAATAAGTTTAACTTTGTACTATATAGTTACATTATATATATCAAGTAACTAACTAGTCGTTCGAGAGATCTATGTCGAAAATAAGTTTCTCCATCAAGTTGTTCAAGTTTTTATATATTCGGGTCTACTTCTAAAACCGGTTACAGTTATATACTACGTTTAAAAGTAATGTGATAAAAAAATCTGCCTAAACAAATAAAACTCAACATGGTCCTAAATGATTCACTCAAACCTCTATGATAAAACTTAAATCCAAATATCCAATACATGCTTTAATTAATTTTTCTATTACTCGAATTCCAATTTCCAAGCCTCGTAATTACCATCGATAAGGAGATTTCGTTTTAGAATAATGGTTTTAAATATAAAGTAGTTCATCTATACGAGACACCATATCTAACAATGATGTTTAATTAAACTTTTTTAACAGAAAAGATGAAACCATTAATTGACTACTTGGTCGATGATTAATGATTAATTTTATTTTTCTCAAAATAGACACATTATTTCTATTTTGAAACGAATAGAACCAATCATGAATAAAGCACACTATAGAACAAGCAAGTTGTGAAATGAAAAATACAAATTTCTTTAAATACGTGTTGGAAACCATTGTAGGACCTGAGACAAAGAACCTTAAGCCCATTCCTCTGAACCTAAAACGAGACAGAGCAACACGTGTCTCGTCCGACACATGTCATCCTCTCCGTTTTTAACGCTGATGATGACACGTAACTCGCCAGCGAATATTATAACAAATTAAATAAGAGATTTTGTTTTTTTAAATAATAGTATAAGCAAAGAAGCAATAATACTTATAATAGTGGCAAAAAGTGTGGGGACAAAGAAATTAAAATTAAAAATAATTATAAGCCGTACAAAAACGTGTCGATTCGAGGGATCATCTGATTGCCACTTGGCACTTTTCACACATTGGCTATTCTCGTCGCTTTCTTTTCCTCTACGTGCCCAAAACCCAACATTTATATATATTCTTACTCAACTTTATTTTATTAATTTTCCTCAACAACATAATAATTAATAAAAAAAATAAATAAACTTTTTAATTAAAGTATGTAAAATAGTAAATTTTATTATATAGGAGAGAATCTAAATTGATTACAATTTCTTTTCTTGGTGAAATCTTTTTTGCGAGTAAATAGAAAAAAATAATTACAGGGATTTGGTTTTTATTGTACATGTTAATGTTAATGATGAACTAATAAGGTATTGACAAGTAAAATTGAACTGAATATTCTGTCTTGTACTCAAATTTGAGTTCTCTTTCTCTGTCTCATCCATTTCACTTTTTTTTTGGTCTGTCTCCCCCATTTTTTAGAGAAATCATATTCAATAGTAACAGAACGTGTCTCGTAAGTTTTTATTAATGGATTAAAGAGAAACTTTTTCTTCTTCTGCAAATATTGGATTATGGATCGTGGCATCAAAATCTGATTACTGTTTCATCAGCTTCTTTGTTGTTAATGGCGGAAGCAAACGAGAGAAGTAGAGAAATGGCGAGAAGTAATAGTTGTGTGTTTCCAAGAGATCTACTTCAGAGATTTATCTCTAATTCTGTTGAAGGTGAAGATGATGATGAAGAAGAAGAAGATGATGAGATCGAGTTAAATCTTGGCTTATCTCTTGGTGGGAGATTTGGAGTTGATAAGAGTAATAATAATAAGCTTGTGAGATCTTCTTCCGTTGTTGTGACGATGCCTCTGTTTCGGGAAGATCATCATCATCATCAGGCGGCGGCGATGATAACGACGAAGGTTTCGACGGAGACGGTGGCGGGAGCGACGAGGGGGACGGGTTTGATGAGAACGACGTCGTTGCCGGCTGAGTCGGAGGAAGAGTGGAGGAAGAGGAAAGAGATGCAGACTTTGAGAAGAATGGCGGCGAAGAGACGGAGAAGCGAGAAGCTTCGTACCGTCGCCGTCGCCGGTGGAGGAAACAGTAATAATCCGGAAGAAGCTGTCACTGCCACCACTTCGAGACGGCGAGGTAGACCATCGTCAGGACTTCCTCGGTGGTCAGCGACGGCTAACAAAAGCGAACTTTTGCGGCAACACAGCGCTGCTCTTGATTCACTACAAGTTTCCGTTGAATCTCAAGGCGGAGGAGGAGGTGGAGGAGCCGCCGGAAGTTCATCGAGCGTCTCCGAGTTGGAAACTAAAGGTATATTACTAATCTATCTAATATGATCATTAAAATTGTTGAAACTTGAACTATAAGCAATTTGATGTAACAAATCATTAAAGCCAAATTTAGATTGCTAGATAGATTAATCCTTTGATGCAAAGTTTTCGCCTTTTCGCAACCCAAAAGGTCGTTTAATTGTGGTAATGGACTAATGTTACTGAAAAAAACATGTTTTGGTGAATACAGCGTCGAGCGATGAAGCAAGAAGCTTACCATCAACGACACAACAACAAGAAACAACCACAAAGCCAACAAATCGGCTGCGAAGATTGAGTTCAGTGGACATGAACATGAAGATGGAGCCACAAGGGAAAGGAAAAAGTGAGATGCCATGTGTGTTTACAAAAGGAGACGGACCAAATGGGAAGAGAGTTGATGGGATTCTTTATAGATACGGTAATGGAGAAGAAGTTAGGATCATGTGTGTTTGCCATGGCGATTTCTTGTCTCCGGCCGATTTCGTTATACATGCCGGTGGTCCTCATGTAGATCATCCTCTTAGACACATTGTTGTCAACACTTCTTCTCCTTCTAATCTCTTATAATAGACCAAAACCCCTCTGATCCAACCCACTTTTGTTTAGAGAAGATGTTTTTAAGAGTCTCTGGTCATTTCTCAATTTTTAAGTTATATATGTATTTTTATTACTTTATACAGAGAAGAGAATTAAGGAGACAGAAACATCATTTATATCAGTTTCAAGAGAGTAGAATGAGAATAACATTTTGATGATTCATGCATATGGTGAACAAGAGTAATACAGATGAAAAACCTCCCTACACTGAAAATTTTAAAAACAGACTTGAAAAAGATTCTAATGGCTAGGCACTTGTTTGCTGCTGTACAAATCATCTACTAAACACACACTTTCTTCTAGCTTTGTATCACAATCTAGAAGGCTGGATTCGTTTCAGCAGTCTTACGGCTTGTTTCATCGTCGGCCTTATCGAAAGGCTATCGACTGTGCATTTGAGAGCCAAATGTAGAACCTCGACCAAATCGTCTGGTGGACTAGTCTCCCATAGTCCCTTGGTGAAGACGTCTTTGGCTTTGCCTTGACTCAACATCATATGTGCCCAGGACACGATGTTAAACCCGTTCTCATGCGAAGAGAAAGATGGATCTAGCGCTCGCTTGTCCGATATGAGCTCCAAGAGAACTATGCCGTAGCTGTAAACATCTGCTTTCTCCGAGACACGGCACGTCATTGCGTATTCTGGAGCAACATAGCCAAATGTACCAGCTACACCTGTTGTGACATGAGACTGCGAAGTTCCCAAGAGTTTCGAGAGTCCGAAATCGGATAGATAAGCGTTGTAGTTGTTGTCCAAGAGTATGTTACTCGGTTTGATGTCTCTATGCAAGACTTTAGGGGAACACTGTTCGTGAAGATAGGCGAGAGCACGCGCAACATCAAGAGCAATCTTGTGAAGAACCTTCCACTCAATAGCAGCTTTCGATCTTTCTTTAATGAAATCTTGAAGGTTTCCCCCGGATAAGTAGTTGTAGATAAGAAACATCTCTGTTTCACTCGCGTGGTAACCGATTAACATAACAAGATTCGGATGCCTAACCATCTCAAGAGCAGAGATCTCAGCATGAAACTGTTGATCCCCTTGAAACCTCCCAACAGAGAGTCTTTTAACAGCAAACACATTCGTTGGAGACACCTCTGCTTTATACGTCGAACCAAAACCGCCATGACCGATACAGTTGGAGTTACTAAAGTAACCAGTAGCTCTAACAATGATCTCATACGTCAGAGGAATACCAATGTCCACAAACACTTTGATCTCCTTGATTTCATCTACCTGAATCTGAGAGTTTCGTTTCCATTTCTTCGTGTAGAGGAACAAGAGCACAAGAACAAGAAGCACAAAGACAATCACTGAAGCCGACACAATCGAAGCAATCTCAATCGGATACAATCCAGGTTTACCAGGAGAATCATCAGCTGAGCTTGGACCAATTTCATCTTCATCTTCAAAACTCATAAGTTTCCTAAGAACAACATTTCTTGAAAACCCATCAAGAACCCTAATTCCACCGATAAAGCTGTTACCTTTAAGATCAAGAATCTCTAATTTCTCCAACCCCCAAATCTCCTTTGGAATTTCACCTCTTAGATCATTAAAAGACAGAGACAAAACCCTAATTTCAGACAAATCTCCCACAACCGGAGAGATTACACCACCAAGTCTTCTTCTACTTGAAGAACAAGAAGACAAATCTGGGAAATGAAGAACACCACTACCTTCAAGCTCATCACAACCTCTGAGAATCAAAGAGACGACTCTTAAATCAGAGTTACAAGAGACACCGTACCAAGAACAATGGTTTGATGAGCTGTCGGAAACCCAGCTAGACAGAACTCCATTTGGATCGAAGAAACTACTCTTCAGCTTCAAAAGAACAGCTTCGTCGTGAAGACCACTCTCGGTTAAAAGTTTCCGAGAAAATGAAAACACAAACAAATTAAACAGCAAGAAGACCAAACCCAGAATTTTCATTTTTCTTCTTCTTCACAAGAGAAAGAGAAAGAGAGACGACGGCAGATGAAACAAGGAAAATCAAAACCCTAAAATAAAAATTGTCTCTTTTTCACAAATTTTAAGTCTTTTGTGAAAAAATTTGATCTCTCTTTCTCGCTCTCGAAATCGAAATTTCAAGTTGCAAAAGAAGAAAGTTTCTTTACTCCAAAAGAAAATGACATTAAAGAAACAAATATTTTCTATGGCTCGATTATCAAGACGTATAATAAATTTTTTAAAAAAAAGTTCTTAACGTATTGGAAACAGTCAAAGAAGAATGCATTTCGAGGAAAAGAGGAAAAAAAGAAAGAAAAATCTCTCAGCTTTTTTAACTTTTCCTTATAATTATTGAAATTTCAACACATTACAAGTGAAAGGTTACTTAAATATTATCCATCAAATAAAATTTTAAGGAAAAAATAAAACGAATTTTTTTCTTATTTATTTCTAAAATTTGCTCTTGTAATTTGAGAGAGATAAATAGGATAAGTGTTTCACTTTCAGCCGTGTCTCTCTCGGTTCTGTCGTTAAAAATTTGTCGTTGTCATAGAGACTTTAGAGAAGTGTGGGACCCACTGAAGTCAATGTCTGAATGTATTTATGTGAAGAGAGAGAAGTGAGAGACCACATGGCTGCTTCTGGTTTGACCAGCCAGGATAGGTATGGGACCTACACTAGTCTTGTATTGGTCCATGATTAGATTCCAAAATCGTTTCTTTCGTAACGATTCATTTTTTTTTAAGTAGACGTGTATTCCTCTGTGAATCATCGTCATTATGACGTTAGATTTTGCGTCAGAAATATGTTTTTGTTCTTTTGTTTTAATCGCGACTCTTTTAGTCCATATTTTAGGATTGTAACGGCTGATAACTTTAACCAAAAAGAGTATTAGAAGAAGAAACTTAATTAGAGTACGATTACGATTTAGAAAGAAAAGGAATCACAGTTTGTACTTGTGCGGATCTAAAATCAAGAAAAAGATTCTTGTAATGTGTTCAATATCTTACCATATGGTAACATAAGCAATGAGTTATGTGTAGGAACTCCTAAAAGAAGCGGACCTAGAAAATACTTTTAACCGGAGACATGATATTTTTATAAATAGGATGTGAACATTTGTAAGATTTTACTAAAGATAAAAATATTTAAACTGGAAAACTGATTCTGTATACTGACATATTGTACGATAAAAAAAAAAACCGTTACAAAAACAATCGGTTTAATCTAAAAAACCGTAATATAATAAAAAGACACAAATTATGTTCTTAATAAGTGTTTATTTTTCAAAAGTTAACATGTGGAAAATGTATAATAAAGATTCACATCTCTTCGACTTTTTATGTCACTTTAATTTTAAAATAATATGTCAAATATTTTGAAATATGTTAATGACGCCGTTCATTAGAATTTCGATCATTTGAATCATTCCACAAATACTCCTCATGTTTTATAATATATGATGTTTTGGGCTTTTTTATTCTATTTTATTAGATTTTATAAAGTTTTTGTGCATAGTTTATATTATAATTTAATAGTTTATAACTATTTGAATTGTACGGTATTTTTTTCTATTTAAACCCAACTTATTACATATTGTTGACAAAAAATAATAGAAACACAAAGTTCCGGAACCAATTATACTAGTAATACCGTACATGCAAATACCGTACATGCAAGACATTTATGAATATAGTGTAAACATTCACTACCAATTAGTTTTATATTGAAACCGGTTTAACGATGAAAAGGAACAACATTGACAAAAATAACAAAATATAAATAAAATATAAGCAAAACATTAGCAAATATATAAATACGTGACAAAAAACTATAAAATTTATATTTAACAAACCAATTTTATGATTTGGTTAGCATGCAATTTCAAATGTCAAAATAATACATGAATAAATGAACTTTGACAATATGTTTTTTTTTTTTTTGTTAAGAATGTTAATATCATTAGTGAAAATGAAAAAGTTCGGTTGTTATATAAGTACATAAAGCTATTGGCTTTTGAGACCTTGGCAAAAAGAAATAAAAACAAGGTTTTAAATTGGGAAGTCACATAGAGTGAGCTTATGATATTCATAACTATATTAGGTTGCGGTAACGTCGTTATCTTAATCTTTTAGTAGTGATATGGTATTGCGAATCTCCATGCCTATAAGCTTGAAAATAGTTGTTAAGTAATTTAGTAGTTTGTTAGTGTTGTCACTGTTGTGACCGAGGTTATACTACGGGTAAAATTAGATTTTGTGGGTTAATTTGCATTTTTTTGTAAGTTAAAAGGTAAATTTGCAAAAATTATATTTGGAAGGTTCTTTTTGCACCAAAGCCAAACCCAAAATCATGTTGATTACTCCTTTCTCCTTTAGACATATCAAGTTGATAGCCTAAATAATTTTACTTGAGAAGTTTAAACACTTCTTTTTACCAAAAAAAGTTTAAACACTTCTACTATCTAAAGTCTTAACTCTCCACGTACACTGTAAGATACATCAACATCAACGGATATTTTATCTACCACAAGATTTGTGAATCTTGGGACTTCAGACCTAGTCTTTCTTTAAACGGTTTAACCTTATGTTGCCTAATACTATTTTCAAACCTCACCTGACTTTGATGATAACAGAAAATTATATTGTTTTTTGTTTTTTTTTTGGTACTGCTCTCAATAGGCAAGAAACGTTTACATTTGTGTAAAATCTAATTTTTTTAATACCTTTAGCTAAAGAAGAAAACAGAGTTGTGTAAGAATCTAATCTAAAGTTAAGAAGAAAGAAAGCAACAAAACCATTTATGAGATGTTTTTAACTCTGATTTTTGCAGTCTCTGTTCGTCACTCCCTCTAGTCATCTCATCATCTACTACCTTCTTCGAAGAACTGTAGCAACACAAAGAAAACTCCGGTAGGCTTTTCGATTGAAACAATCACAGATTAAAGAAGACCAATGTCATGAGAATCTGGAAGTAGCAATCTACCTGGAACAGCAACTCCAACAGCTCCAATGGCAGCAGAAGAGCCAGCCACAAGAAGAATTGTAATCACAACTTGGCCATCTGCACCAGGAGAAGCACGAGCACGGGCAACATTTTAACCGTTTGCAGCAAAAGAAGTTGTAATCACAACTTGGCCATCTGCAGCAGGAGAAGCACGGTCCAGTGTTCTTGCAACACAACCAAGAACATCTCTTCTTCTGTTGCTGCTGCTGTGTCATCTTCTTCTTTATTGCCTTCTTTTTTTTCTTCTTCTTTTTCGTTCTGCATTAAAACAACAATTAATCAAAATTAAAGTTTCTGAAGACTACTACAATGAGATGATGGTATAAAGTAACAAAACTCACATTGGATATGAAAATGACTGCGTGCTGCTCGGAGCTTCGTCTGAGTTATTGCAATCTCCAATGTTCCTCCATGATACATTTGAGTTCGACGACTTATCCTCACATTCTCCACTCGCTTTGTCCTCCATATCAAAGCTCTTTCCTAGATCAGAAGAATCAGCCGGACCATGAATAGCAGGGCAGAACGATAACAGCTCTCCCGATTTTGTGATCTCTCCAGACTTGAAATCACGGTAACTAAACAACTCATCTCTTGCTATCGCGTTATCACCTATGCTGAGACTAAACAGAGAATCATTTGAAAGTGTGCTCAAATTCTTCTCCAAGGTCGGTAACGAGTTTCTCTGAGGTTGATCAGATCCTTCTCTATCCATCATTTGAACAGAAGGCGACATAAGCAAAGGCTCCACTGAAGCATGAGTTACACCAGACACTTGTGACCCTGGTGTGTCTGATGAACCTTGTAACTCGCATAATTTAGAAGAAAGGCTTAAGAGCTCCTTATTGTGTACGCTACTATCGAAAGATAAGCTGGATTTCCTTTCTTTTGCATTGATCTCGAGTATATCCCCTGAAGAGGTTGGAGACAATGAAGACAAGGAAAGAGATGTGGATCTTCTAGTGGTGATCTCTGGATCTGCCTCGAGACGAACATCACTGACCCCATAACTAGCAATGCTCCCCAATTGGAACAAAACCGGCTTCTCATCATTCACTTCTTTGATCGTTGGTCTTGGATCGAAACTCTTATTATTATCTGATTTTCTATGCTTCTTTAGATGATAAGCCTTTCTAGTTTTTCCTTTCTTGTGATTCGTTTCCATAGCTGAAAGAAAAAATGAAAACTTCATCATCTTCTTTGAACTCGCTTCACAAATGCACGAAAAGGAGATGTTTTCAAGAACACAAGATACATCGTAGAATGACTGAACGAACCAATCAGAATCCTTCAAATCTTTCCTAAGTCCTTGAAGTCTTTAATTTCTTCAATGATAAAGCAGCATAAAGAAGAATTATAAGAGAGTAAAACACAGAACTTACTTATACCTATGAATATCCATGTAAAGTTCCAATGAACCCTAGCTCTTCGAACCTTATACTTTACCCGCAATGGCTCCCTCCGTAAGTAATCTTCTCTTCACGATTCTTCTCTGTCTATAAACCAAATTGAAACTTAATACAATTTTGCAAACTGTAAAACCAAATGGGCAAAAGCTTCACAGAACAAACAACAGAAATATAATGATGAACTCATGAAAGTTGTTATCTCAATAAAGGCAACGAACCTCCATACAGGAAACTGTAAAATCTATCCTTGAGATATTAGAACAATGAGAAATTCATAAAACAAACACACAAAAAGGAAATCCTTTCAAAATTTTGAGGGTAAAAAGGAAAAAGGTTGAACAAAATTGAAAGAATTATTCCATTTGGTCTTTCTTTTTTGTTTTCCTGCAGATTTCTATAAACCAAAGGCATTCCTACAATTTAGGGATTAGCTCGTCTTAATCTATCTTGGCTGCTTTTGGCGCCATCTTTTTTTAACTAAAAACTCTCCTATCTGATGCTTTCTATTATTAGCAATGCAAACTGTCACAACACCAGAAAGAGATGACAGAGATGTCTTTGGCTTGTGTCCTGAAAACTTTTATCATGTGTTGAGACCAGCCCAGTTCTTGAAGGCAACAAGAGATTCCATTTTCTTGTAGTTCCTCTTCCTCAGCTTTGGCAATCTAAGTTTCTTGTGAGTCTCCATGAATGCTTGCTTATACCTCCACTTATCCACAAATATCTTCATCTCCTGAGATTTCTCTACCACTTGCATCGCCGCATCAAAGAACCCTCCTTTCACCAATGCGTACAAGAACGCATCGACTAGAGCATGGTCTAGTTTGGACCTCTTCTCTGCCTCCATCGACGATATCTTACCTTTAATCTCGTTCCACAAGAGCAGGACGTTGAAGTACTTTTCGCCGCTCACATATCCATTAATCAAGGATAAGTATGTCTGGTTGTTCGGCTCATATCTGAGGAAAACCATCCTTCTGAATGTCCTCCTTGCATCTTCCAGACGCCCGGATTTACAGAATGCATGAATAATCGAATTCCAATCATGGGAATTTACTTCGACACGAGGGTCTTCGACAACTTCGTCTAGAAACGCTGCCATTAACTCAGGTCTCTGGTTCTCAAGGAGACCTGTCATTATTGTTAAGTAGCTCCCTTTCAAATCCCCCACTCTTGTTTCTCTCATATCCCTAAATAATGTAAACGCAGATATGAAATCCTGGTTCGTCATGGAAGCTTCAATCAAAGCATTATAGATCTCGACATCTAATTGAAGCCCAGAGCTGTTGATCTCTGTAACCAGCTGAGTTGCTTCAGCTGTTCTGTACTCTTTGCAATAAGCTTTTAAGATTGGCACATAAGCCCCAATCCCCACAGATCCTCCTCCTTGAGCAATCATTTCCTCAAGAATACTATGTGCCTTATCCGAGAATCCAAGATTAACACAAGCATTAATGATTCCAAACCCAACTGAACTGTCAGCATCAATGGAAGAAGATTCCAACTTCTGAGCTTCGATTATCACTTTCGCTAAACCCTTAACGCTTTTACTCTCTATAAACCCTTTAACCAATTCACAGTACGTTTCCTCACCGAAACCCGATTCTTTCCCATCTCCTTTAAGACTATGCAGTATAACATCAGAAACATTATCTAAATCACCACTTTTAACATACCCACTAATCATATTGGAATACAGAATTCTTCTACTTGCAAACCCAAAACCATCCATCAAATTCTCAAGCTCACTTATCTTCTCTCGAAGCCCCTTCCTCGCATACAAGTAAGCAAGAAACCCAAAGCTCAATTCATCAGGCTTCACACCCAAAACAGCCATAGATTCAATCACATTGTCAGCATCAGCCAAAGATTCCAACTGCCGACAACACGCTTCAAGAGCCGCATTACTAGCTACCAAATCCGGTTTCATAAAATCAAGCTTCTCATCTACTGCAATTCTACAACTTTCCTTAAACACCTTAAGAAACGCAGCCAAGCTTCCATTTTCTCTACAGATATCGATAATCAAATGCCCCCAGAGATCAAAAGGAACAAAGTACCTGTTTTTAAACATACACTTCACTAAAGCCAACGCTGGCCCTGCAGCTTTCGCAAGTTTCATCGACTCCATAAGCGTACGAACAGTCTCAAACTCAAGCAAAATCGGATCTTTCTGTATTACATAAGCAGCGGAAGCAAAAGCTCGCTTGAGTCTGTGTGCAGTGTTTTCACCGCTTTCTTCGGTATTGGACAAATGGGTAATAAGAGAATTGATGAGACGCTTCTCCGGGAGAGAAGAAGCGGCGGTGAGAGATCGAAAAGCCTTCCATGCTTCATCGGTGTTGTGGGTAGTTAAAGAATCGTGGAGGGTAGATTCAAAGGAGGATTTTTGCTCTTGGGTTAGGGTTTTGAGGTTTTGAGGCGGTGATAGTGAAGGTGTGAGAGTGATTGGCTTGTTAGAGAAGAGAGAGGGTTTAAGGAATGAGTAAAGGGAAGGACTTTCAGGAGAAGACGAAGAGAAATGTCTTCGTGAGATTATAGTTAGAGTTTTTCTGAACATTCTATGAAGCAGTCGAAGATCATCAATCTGGTTGAGAGAGAGAACAAATTCTCCGCCATATTTGCTTCCGAGTTTTAAAACTCTAAAAGTATAAATAGTTTTAACTAATATAACAACCAAAGAAGCTGGAATAGCTCAGTTGGTTAGAGCGTGTGGCTGTTAACCACAAGGTCGGAGGTTCGACCCCTCCTTCTAGCGTTTTTGGCTTTTTCCTTTATAGAGGAAATTACTCTCACAAGCCCAAAAGATACGGCCACACATGAACCAAAAGACCATTAGTAAAGCCCATACCAAGTAAGATATGTTGTATGTGTATTTTGAGAATTGAGAGAGCCACCTAAGTTACTAAAAAGATCATTAGCCATTTAGGCATTTAGCCTAGTTGGTTACACAAGCTTGTGTATAAAGAGAGTTGAGAAAGGAGAAAAGGAGATGCAAAATATTCTGAAGCTAATAATCAACGAACTTTAAGAATCAGCTTGGAAATGAAAAGCAGCTTTGGGAGAAGTTGAGGATCAGATTCTTGACCACCACTACTAACCGCACCCGATTCCAAAACACACACAAAAGAAACTCAACAGATTCCATAGACTGTAAAACTATATTCAATTCCAAAGTCTTACCCATTTTATGTATAGATTTAGGAGCCATCTTAATTTGGGAGACCAAAAGTTAATCCCTCTTGCTCATTGTCAACAATCATTACGTTAACACTTTTAAGACCATTACTTCCCACGTTGTTAGTAGACAGACTGGAGAAAACAAAACCCACATCGAAAGAGACACTCTTTTGATCGCTAGCAAAAAAAGTGATTCCTCAATCGTTTTGTTTGACAAGTTTATTATATAATTCCAAAGGTGAAAGAGACCAAACATAGATTTCTCATACCTAGTAAATAGTTTGAAGTCACAAAATTTACATACTTTTCATTTGGTAGCATTTGTTTTGATCGTTATTGTAACAGGACTTAAAATGGTAATGATGGTACGTATTAAAATATGAAAGATCCAAGTAAAAAGGATAAAAAAGAATAGAAGAAACAAAAGAGCATCTCATCCTCCGGATTTACAAAAGTAAAGCTCTTAGTTAAGTTGTACATACCCAAAATACTAGCTACTACCAGCATTCTGTCTCTCTGCCAACCTAATTCCAAACCCTAAGAAGAAGAGTGAAAAAAAGATGGCTCTATCAACCATGAGCCGTTGGCAAGATCTGATATCTCAGCAATCCAATTACAACCACAACCTCGTGTGACTTCTAAGCCCTCATATGACAAGCATAGCTACAACGGATAATAAGAAGACCACCATGTTAGTTCGGACAGACAGCTTCTCTCCAGCATTTGGATCACCAAATCCCCCGCTCCCAGTCGGTCCAAGAGTAGTGCCCGGGAACACCGAAGATGATGATGAAGTTGGCATCCCACCGGAATTTGGCATCCCAGTGTTAGTCCCTGTGTTCGGAGTCCCGGTAGTTGGGAAGCCACTAGTTGGAGTCCCACTGGTCGGAGTTCCGGTGGTGGGGGTCCCAGTAGTCGGAGTTCCGGTGGTGGGGGTTCCAGTGGTTGGAGTTCCGGTAGTTGGGGTCCCACTAGTTGGGGTTCCTGTGGTAGGAGTGCCACTAGAGCTGCAAAAATAGTCAAAAACATTAGCGATCATTTGTTACAAGATAATTAATAATGATGCTCATCTGGATCATGTGAATGATGGACTGTTTTTGATGTGAATTCTCTTTTTAGTAAAGGTGAAATGAACAGAAATGATGAATGATGCAAAAAAACATTTAATCAAGATTCTTTTGTCTATTCATTTGGTCTTAAATCACTATCATTGTGTCTCCACAAATACAAATTAATAACCAAATTCGAAAAATTAAAAATAAGTTAGTCGGTGGTAAAAGCAAATCTACCCAGAAAGCCAAAAAAAATTTCCAACTTTATGGAGACTAAGAATCAAACATTACTAAAATCATCTAAACAAAGAATGAATCAAGAATCAAAAACATACCTTGAACCAGTTAAACAGCTTGAAGCAGCTGCAAGAATTAGAGAAACAGAGAGTCAATATTAAAAAAATAGAGACTTGATCTGAAATAAGTGGGTATCTTTGTGTAAAGATGAGTACTTGACGGAAGGGTGTTAGAAGGGGTGGCGGCGCCGTTAAAGTCACAGGTGGCACCGGAGGAAGCTTTTTTCTGGTAGTAACTGTTGACAGCGACGTCACAGTGGCTTTTGACGGTGTTAGGTTGGAAACAAGCTCCGGAGGTCTGGATCTGACTACAGTCAGCTCCGTTTCCACAAGCGTAGTCTATTGCCTTCTGAAGAACTTGCTCGTTCCCATCTTTGCACACACAATACACTGCGTCTGAAATTTACCAAACATACAAAAACAGATTTCATTACAGAGCTCGAGCTAGAACACTAACCCACAAGACAAAAGTCGAGATTTTTGAGGAGTCTGAGATATAAGATTGGAACGGGTTGGTCTATTTAAGATCTCATACTAAAATTCTGACACTATCTGGTGAAATCTAAGATAAAGGAGAAACATTTTGTAGTTAAAAGAGGTGAGAAACAGAGGAAACAGGGCTTACTTGAGTATGTGAACATGGAGATAATCAGACAGAGAGGAAGTAAAACCGACATGATTGTGTAGTTCAGAGAGATCTGTTGTTGGAGAGAATCTAAAGGAAAAGGCTTTTTAGATCGAACTTGTTTAGGTTCAGAGTTTTGAGACGGTGAGAGATGAGTTTTTTAGGCAGCGAGAGAGAGTTCTAGACAATAACGGCAAGTGTGTGTGACTATGTTTTGATAAATAATTATATACGACCATGGTCCAACACTTTTTTTTTTTTTTTTTTGCGGCATTAGTTTAATAGATGTATTACTTAAAATACCTGATTAGTACTTAGTAGTAGTAATTATACTAATTAACATCAATATCAAAGAATTTGTATTTATGTAAACAACAATTGTCAAAGTTGATATTGAAAGATAGTATTAGTATGGCTTTTCTTGGTAATCGGTTTAATAATTACCAATTACAAAAGCCACACCAAAATATTTATTTTAGTTTTTTTTATATCATTATAAATCGTTATTTTTATTGTTTTTAACTAATTTGGTACCGTTTACTATTGTCTCAATCCGTTCAAAGAATTTTATACTATTTTGTGTCATCAATTGGATTTTCCAAATCTATAAAAAAAAATTAAATTGAAAAATTTAATACAATATTTTATTAAACCTACTGTTAAAGTTATTTATATCTTGATACTTTCATAAATAGCTATATTAATAGTTTAACACATTAAATAATAAAAATACAAATTATATAAAACGTGACAAAGATATAATCTATTTGATAAATTAAATATTTACACAAACACAGAATATGAGGCATTTTGAAATAGTTAAATGATATAATGAGACGTTTAGGTAAAAAAAAAAGTAACACAGACAAGAAAAATAACGTATCAATTCAATGCTTAAAATGAATTGATCCAAAGTGTTTAAATTCAACTAACAAAAACAAACGAAAGCGCTTTGAATTTTATTCAAGGGACAACAAAACTTTAATAATGGGTCTCTTTTTTACCATACGAACCCAACTACTCAATTTTAAAATAAACTCAGTACGTTTTGGCAGTGACAACAGAAAAGAATCAAAGAAATGTTCCTTTTTTTTTTTTGTCATCTAAAAATTTTCATTAAAACTTGAGATAGAACTTTACATGAAACCAAACGCCCAAAAGAATGAAACTAAGCCGGCGGACAACTAAAAGTCCCCCGAGTCATTGAGTAACCAATGTTCCTTTTATGTATAACAAAAGTGTAAGAAGAAATTGAGTAAATAACAAAAGATAGTAAAAAAAAAACCTACACGAACCAATGTAGTTTTGCAGAAAAGAATTAAAAGCATTCTTGTCTTCTAGTCTCTGTTCTTGTGAGACTTATTCGGCGCACCGAAAGATTATAGTAAAAGTGGACTAAAATGCTTTCTTATTTACAAATTTTGCCACCTCCTCGATTTACGTATCTCAGATGAGTTCTCTCTTCCTTTTAAACACCTGTCCTAAAATAATAAACTCGTCTTTTGTTTCCCCAAAATAAAAACTCATTTTTTAGCAACGGTCAAAAATTACGTCTAAACATATGGTTTAGTGAGTATGCAAAAACTATAGTATATATTATTATATATATAGCTTAGAAGTTAAACCTAAACCCTAAACTTTTAATTGTTTTTTAAAACCAACAAAAACTTGGCTTATACTTTTTCTTCTATAAAACAACACGTACAAATTCAATTCATCCACTCTTCCAACAATTTTGAGAACTCGATTCTTAAAGAACACATTTCAAAAGTTGTTTTATTGAGGATTTCAATTTTGTGCAAGAAGCAACGGTAACAAAAAAAAAAGGATGGGTTTCGGATTTTATTAAACGAGCGAACCGAGCCATGTGCAAAAGACAACCTTTGCCGTCATACTACGACACGTGTGATGTGCCACACACAACACACATTTGCACACAAAAAATGGTACACTTTCTTTTTTTTTTGTTCTGGTTTTATTAAATAATCATTTCTGTTTATTTGTGTGGACATTCTTGAAAGTTGAGCTGTTTGTTGTTAGTCGGTGCCTCAGCTTTTCAATGGACATATTTATCAGTTTTTTTTTTTTTTCAATTTCAAACATTTTCGAACGTTACTTACTTGCTTTTGGGTTGTCTTGTTACTCCCAAGCCCATGGCAACTTTGTTGGGCCGTAACGTTCGTAATTTCTCATCTAGATATACCAGTAAGCACTAGCCTCCTCCTCCATATATATAGATGTATATTAAGCATTGTTAACATTTGGGAGTATTGTGTTTTGTAATATATATGTTACTTAAAGAGAAATTTTGAAAAAACTTTTATCTCTTTATTTTAACCACTAAACCATAGAGTTTTACGACTGTTTTAACGTTTATTATAGTTAAAATATACTCTATATTCTATACTCTCACACGCGATCGTTTCCCTGAAAACCTAAATAATGGGTATAATGTTAGGTACAAACCAACGTTTCACATCGGAAGTTTAGAAAAAAATTTTTAAAATATATAAGTAAAGTCCAACTCCAACTAGTATGAGGTTTTTTGGGAAGGAGCCCAATAACAAATCTGTGCGGACTTGAGTTGAGCATGTAGACTCAAAGCGGACAATATCATACTATTACGGAATTGGAATGAGCTTGGAAAGCCCAATAAATGGTATCAGAGCCTAGGTCAAAAAAGTGGACCTAAGAGAGTGGGCTTGGACCTATGATCGGTGTGAGAGAAGCCTTCAAATGTGACACGATAAGAAGGTGTCTTAAGAATTTCGTGAATAAAAAGGTGCCGAGTCAGGGTGCCAAGGTTTCGTTGAAGAGGAAGCCCAATGTTTGTGGTTTGTGGTTTGAAGAGGAGATTGTTGGGTACAAACCAACATCCCACATCGGAAGTTTTACAAAAAAGTTTCTAATATATAAGTAAAGTCCAACTCCAACTAGTATGAAACCTTTTGGAAAAGAGCCCAATAACAAATCTGTGCGGAACTTGAGCATGTAGGCCCAATGATATTGAGTTGAAATGAACTTGGAAAGCCCAATATATAACCGAAGTGAGGTTTGGTCCGAGATATATGAACCAAAAGAGAAGTTTATATGTAAGAATATTTCTCACCAAAAATATATTTCTAATCAATTAGTTTTGAATTAAAAGATATAATCTCACCGAATTATGACAAATTATAATGCTAGCTAGCTTCCACATATATACTATTATCAACAACAAAAATGATTATATAACAAATATAGTCGGAAAGATGGTTTTCATTCCTCCATGTTCCCTAAAAAAAAAGGTTTGAGATGGACTAGCTAGCTAGCGTTATCATTATGAATTAGATAAAGAGATATGTGCACGAAACTCTTACAGTATCGACTTATATTTGTAAATATGTCATGTATTGTTCGATATTGTTCGGATTATTCATGCCTTGACCCACATTATAAGATATTTTCATCACCAAATCAGTTGATTATCATTTTTTCAATAGAACTACGCATTGCGAATTCTGTTCTCCAATATAAAATATATTCTTGCAATCTGTAAAGTTCATAAAGGTAAATTAGATATCGCCCTAAAGTTATAAAGATAAAATTGTTTAAAATAATTGTAAAATAATTGATAAAAAGAATAATAAAAACAACGTTAAATTTCTTCCACGTTCTTTTTCTTAAGTGCACATACATGCATCTAAATGTGGGATGGATTCACGATTGAGTAGATTAATGTTAAGTTATATCAAAATTATATCTGGATATATAACTACATAAAAACATATACATGAAGAAATTGCAAACGTACCGGTGGTGAGGTGCTATACATTGATAATGAAGTAATATATATGGTTATATATAGATCCATGGTTACAACGCCATATTGGTTTTATATCCTCCCTGCATTTACCGGTCTGCAATCTCTTCTATAATGAGTTAGCACCTCCTTAGCTGTTGTTACCAAGCTTACCTGGGAGATTATATCAAACAAGGCAGATACGTATATATATGTTACATTTCATCTTTGGAAATAGCATATATTAATGTAATAGAGACATTTCTTGTTAATGTCAATGGTGTAAATTTTGTCATATTGTTTATCTAGCTTCTTATAACAAAGCCAACTATATACATACTTTAATAATTAACAAATGTACACAAATGTACGTAGTAAAGGTTTCAATTGTGAAGCTAAGCTAAAGATGCTCATACGTCTCTTCTAACTCATTTTCTTCCTTTTTCCTTTATTTGCTGTCTTTGGCTAAAACAGAAAGCATTTATTCCTATGACCTAACACATTACCCTCAGAACTTATCCTACATGCCTCGTGGACTTCTTATATACATGCAAGTACATATACATATACATATACATAGAATAAAGATTGATGCACCATGCAGGACATAGAATCACGCATACATGCAATTGTGAACACACACAAAAGGTTATATATATAAATGGAAAAAGCATCATCGTGACACTGAGTGGAGTAGTTGAGCTTCGGATTAAATATTTGTTGACATTTCTATAAAACTGCCGACCCATTTTGGGCTCATCTCTATCATACATAAGTAAGCCTATATATGCCTTATAGCAAGAGTGAGACAAAAGGCACTATTATACCAGTGCTTGATCCTTATACAATCACTGGTAAATATAGACATATCTATAATATATATATATATATATATATATATATATATAGAGAGGCAATCATCCACTTATTATATATGCATGCATCATCCAACTTAATTTGTGTTCTGGAAAAAATGAATACTAGAGAAAGAATAAGCACTGGCCGACATATCTATCGAGTGATCTAAATTGTTCCATAAGAGAGATAATGGGTCGCATCAATGATTAGACCAACACGATATTTGATCCTAATATTCATAAGTACATCTACATCAGATAAACTCCGTTTCTGTCAAAGCATAGGAATTTTATCCCACTTATGATATCTCTCGATGTGGATTTTCAGCTTCGGACAACAACGAAAAACCCTTTATGCCTTTGTGGTCCATTTAAAGTTTTTAAATCCTTTGCAAACCAAAAGATATATATGTTTGAGCTCTTTATAGAATTGATCACTCCTATAATTATATAGACGCTAACATTAACAAATACAAACATATATATGAATATGAGCTCGCAAGGGCTTGAATTCACACAAAAAAATATATGACATATACGAAGTTACCTTAAGGATTGCGCATAGTTTGAGGTACAATATCACCAAGTAAGCCTTCCTCTGATGGGTTAGACACGGCAAGTGCATCTTCAGTTGTAGATTTGGGTAACCGCGGTGAAGGAGCATTATTGTCTCTGTGAAGTTGATGAAGGAGTTCTTGGTAATAATAAGGATTTGGTAATGGGGGAGGGAGATGGTGATGAGATGTGAAGCTATGAGGATCGTGTGAAGTGAGGATTCCGCCACGAGGGAATCCAATGGTTTGATGACAATGTTGTCCTTCGTATGTTGTGATCACTATCGATGGATCTTCGGATGAACGTTCTACTCTCTTCTTCACCGTGCATCTGCTGTTTGTGCATCTATAGTAGCTCCTATATATCAAAAACAATAAATGAGAGATCTTTTAATTACCTTGCATATCCGTTAACTAAGAGAATGATCGAAGAAACTGATGATATATAGAAGACCTTGGGAATGGGCTATTCTTGACGGCTTTTTGCCCATATTTACGCCATCGGTATCCATCTTCAAGATTATCCACATCACTCTTGGTCATGAATGCAAATCTCGGTTGCCGAATTCGCTTTTGAGCCTTCTTCTTCTCCTTCACTCTACAAAAAAAAACATCAAAAGATTAGTACATCACCATGCATCAGAATCACAGAGTAACCAATGAATCAAGCCATCAAATTCTAAGAGATCTCACAAAACATGGATTCTAATCCTAATATTTGTCACAGTCAAACAGCCACGGGAAAAAAAAAACGTTACTTGACTTCAAACATTTTCATTAAAATCATCCATTCTACATTGCTATACCATTTTCATTCATCTTTTAAGTTAAAACCCTACATAAGGAACATCTTATGAAACTACGATCGACGAGACAAGAATTGTTAAAAAAATCAGTGTCTTTTTAATAACTTTGCTAGATAGACACTATGTAGGATAAACATCATTAAAACGTTAGACACTTTTTGACCTAACATTAGTATAATTAAAAAAAAAGGACGAGGAGAAAAAGAAGATGTAGAGTGCACGCTAATATCACAGCCGCAATAGCGGCGGAGTTGTTCCTCCCATTCATCATTATTTACTCCAACTGCCACCGACGATTCTTTACATAATTACTAATTTCTCCTTCCCTCTCCAAAAATTCTTATGTACTGTACGGACGAACTCGTCACTCTCCATCTTCTTGTGATGCCAAAGAAATGACTCAAAAGGAGAAAAATAAATGAGAGAAAATTGGGGTTTTTGGCTTTGGTCCCAAGGTAAAACTAAAACCCTCCCCACCACCACCAACACCAAGATGATGAAGTAAATTACGATCGGACCCCTGCAAACAAAAAAACACACACGTGTTTCTCGTCTCAGTAAAAAAAAAACTCACGGTGTCTCCGGTGGTGGTGTTTTCTCGGCGGAGGCGGTTGAGTTCTCGGCCAGATCTTCACTTGAACTTGAGGTAGCGGAGGGATTATTATTATTAGAGGTCGAAACCTCTGTAACGGCAACAGAAACGGCGGCGGATGAGGAACAAGAAGAAGTGACGGTGGTAGGTTTGACTCCGGTGGTTGGTGTTAAATCGGAGTCGAATCGGAGACTGTGTTGATGATCGGAGGAGTGGTGGAGGTTCCATCCGAAGTCAGAGAGGATATTGGAAGTGTCTCTGTCGAAGAAGTCAGAATCTTGAGAAGTGAGTTGTCTCCAAGCAGAGTCGTCGTTGGTCAGATCGGGATTATCAGGATCGTTCATGATGAGAGAGTACTGATAAGAAGATAGAGAAAGAGAGGTAGAGAGAGAAGCTAGGGTTTGTTCTTGATTGGAAGAGAAAGAAAGAAAGAAAAGAGAGGAGAGAGTGAAAAAAAAAAAAACTTTGAAGCCCGTTAAAGTGCAGTGTCTCGTCAAGGACCGATCTCAGACTCTCTTTCCATTGAGATTTTTTTTTTTTTTTTTTTAATTTTGGAAATTGCGTAAACACAAAAATTATTAATAAATAATTCAAGAGAGAGGAAAAAAAAAAAAGAGAAGGTTGAAAAAAATGGAACGTCAACGTCGAGAGGGTCAAGTGAAACGGAACGGGAGGCTGTTAGTAGCGGAAGTGAGAGGCCCACGTCTACTTTTCCGTCCCTAGATCGACTCCTATTTTTAGACTTGGATTTGCATTTACTCGTTGCTTACCTCTTCCCTATTTTGTTCAATTATAAAGAAATTATTTAACATGAATTAGACTTCTTTCACTATTAAAATTGGTACCACTAATTCAAAGACGAACGAGTAGCAAAAAAAATTAGTCGTTAGGCTAACGACGTTAGCGACAACGATAACGATTAAGTTTTGTTTGTTTTCTAGTTGTTGGTTCATTGAGACTTTGTTTTTCACACATCAAGGAGTAGTCGATGATAATGTTGTTAGCAACTACAAAACAAACATAATTGAGTTATTGATCTTTGTTGATGTCGTGAGCGATTACGAAACAGATATACGAACTATCACGAGAAAATTCGCAAAGTGTGTTTTCCGGCCTAAATAAATATGTAGGGTTAGTTCATACCCGAACTCCAAAAAGAATTGAATTTCAAACCCGAACTTTATATTTAGTGTCTAATTTGGAATCGTAATTAACGGTGTTACGCTTGCTGAGTGAAATGACACGTGTTTGATGTTATGGCCTAAACATATATCGGTCTCGAACCCACGACATTTCACTCATTTATGCAGCCTATTACCATTTGATCGAAACGCCGGGGGTTCGAGACTTGATTAATGCTAACTTTTGATAAAACTTCAACTCTAACGCTTAAAACGACGTTATTTTAAGCCACGTTATCAAATACGGATCATTTGATTTAGCAACTGTAAAAGATGACTAACATCCGTTAATTACGAATTTGAATTAGGCACAAAATATAAAGTTTAGGTATGAAATTTTAATTTTTTTGAGATTTGGATATGAATTAACCCTACGTATTTGTTCAGGTCGAAAAACACACTTTGCAGAATGTACGAATATGAAATTACCCTTTTCTCGAACTATCACACCCCTAGTTCGATTTGGTATAAATTTCTGTTATATGAGTCCATGAGATTCCTTTTTTGGTGTTAAAAATAAGCTTTAACTTACAAATACCACCGACTTATTGTGGTTTTGATGAAACGAGAAAAAAAAGAAGCATTTTATTGAAGAGAAAAGAGGAATTATTAAAAATGATTAAAGTATGTATATTTAAATTTTGATTGAAAATTAGTTAGAAAGTAAATAATTGGTTCCTGCGTGTTGTCCGTGTCGGATATGACAAGAATCTTAGCGAATGTAAACCACAAACAATTAACCAGCCACGTGGAAATTCTTAATCCTCATAACTCATATATGATGATTATCATTCTAATCATATTCACATGTTATTCCATATTTATATTCCCATAATTGCAATCCATCAAATAAACGTTTGCGGTCGCACCCAAGCAAAACCATATCTTCAAGAATCATGTAAAAAGTTCACCGTAGAAAAAAAAAAACGACATCGAATTTTTAAAAATAGTAAGTCTATATTTATAATCACTAAATTAATCGATATTTGTAAAATAAACGGATTAAAACGAGACACATGTCTAGGTGATGTCTAACCATTATTAGAATATTGTTGAAATCATGTAACATATGTACCACACGCTACTACGCTAACAACATATATAGATACAGCTGTAATACAAGTTGTGTTTTAAAAATTTTGATTATAGAAAAATAGTTATAACTTTATGTCTTTATCCATATGCACTTTTGTGAAAATATATGGATAGACATAATTTAGATTATCATTTGTATTCTAATCAAAGAATTAAGTATTAATACACATCTAAATAGCAACATTATATATTCTTTACCATTTTTGGGTTTGGTCTATCGATCTCGGAGCTATTAGAACGCTAGCATCTACACGTCGAGAATCGTTTGTGCGTACACGCAAGAGGGACACCTACTTGTATTTCCACAATCCATCTATATCCTCGTAGGCCCTTTGATTCGATATACATATCCTCGGAAAAAAAAAAAAATAGTGGATTATGAATAGAAAGTATCAATAATGGTCCTCTCACAAAAGAAAAAAGGTATCAATAATGGGAGCAAATCATGTTGGAAATCAAATCAACATAAATATTGTATTATATGATATATCGTTAAAATGGTTACTAATTAAATAAGTGTTTTTAAGTTTCAAGGATTTACAACTTAAAAAATTAGCTATAAAAGGACTGACCAATTTTTTTATATATCATTTAAAGTTATTGCTCACTTCTAATGTTATATATATATATATATATATATCATATAAATAGGAACTAAAATGATTTAACAAAATCGGTACAACGGATACAAAAATTGGTAATGTCATGCCATCTCTTACCGTTTCAAAGTATCATGCCATCTCTTATTGTTAAACAATTTTTTACCGCTTCATGTTGCCGTTAAATTCCATTGATTATTCGTAAATGCACAAAAAAAAAAAATCATATATATGCACAAATTTCTTATACCATATTTTATTTATAATTTATACACGAATATTATAAAGTTGGAATCCAAATTGTGATATATAGTGTTGCGGCCACAAGCCCCCTTCACTAGGTACAAACTATTTTTCCTCATATCATTATTCACAAAATGTAAACCTAATTGAACATGAATGAAATCGTTATTTATAAATGAATACGTCAAATGTGAGCAATTTGTTATTCGACTGTTTTGTATAAAAAAAATAATAATTAATTATTCTGTCTGTTTGTGTTTCACCATTTGGTTAGACTTTAAACACTGCATTACGGTAACAAACGTTTTTGTTTTTTTTAGGGGCAAAAAAAAACTATTACGAACTTTTTAATAAGATTTTCTGTTGCAAAAGTTAATGGATGAATCCAAATTTGTATAAAATATTTTTTGTAAAATCTACTGCTAGGGTTTATCGTTTACAATTTTAGTTGATAAATATAATTTATTTAAAATGTAAAAAAAAAATTAATTAGCTAGCAGTATAAATACTTGTGATCTAATACTTGTTTAAGTGAATAAATAGTTGGTATTATGAATCAAAGATCAAATTTCATCATCTACAAAAGTTGATGTGATTTTGACCTGATTATTGTAGACTAGTTTTGTGACAAATATATTCGACTTTTGGACTTTTTTATTAAAAATAAAGATAGTTAAACTCTTAATCACTTCTTCGGCATATGGTTCATAAATTTGCGTATATAATAAATTATTTTTGTGAATTTTTGTATTGACTTTGTAATAACCATTGCTTAATGAAAGTTTTTAGAATTAAAAAAAAAAAAAAACTCTTACTCACTGATACACAAATGACTACGCGATACATTATAAATAATGAGATCAGTACGCGTCGACAAAAGTGGGGGCCATGGTGCGAGATCGAGTCATAAAGTGACATAAGTCAAGTGGCATTCATCAGTCAGGAGCGATGAACCTTGAACTTGGAATTCCATCACACAATTTTCATGGAATTTAACGCAATTAGACTTTCTCTTAATTAGTATCTAATCATCATCTTTTAACATTATAAAATCAAACTCCATGTTTTCAAGAAATCATAATCATTATTGCAAATCTAAAAGAGAAATAGTACTAGATTACGAATCATCCATGATTCTAAAACGACCACGTTTGCTCCTTTTTGGAAAACGACAGTCACGTTTACAATTCAATTAACCAATGACTAAAATTCCCTATTATTTCCATTTTCTATAAGAGAAAAGAAGATACAAATATTAGGCTTAGACCAACACCCTTGTGGCTTGTATCTTATGGGTTTCATCTTTTTCTATTTGTAATCTCATGTAAACACTTACTTTACTAATGAAATGAATGGAGGAGATAAAAAAAAAAATACACTCCTTATATTTGGGCCAATTCTGTATATATCACAATGGGCCGTACTAAATTATGAGCCCACAAGATCCATAAGCCATGTCTATTATTTGGCGGCTTGTTTCGTGGTAAATTATTTCAGACTCCTAAGAATAAAATTACAAAATGGATTCACTTATTATGTATATATAGAGTATAGACTATAGAGATAGAATAGAAGTGAACTAAAAAATATTCTGACATATGGATAATCTTCTACAATCTTTCATGATTCTTCTCTAACCGGATCTTCGTGATTGATGTAATTTCCGATTAGTCTGCGATCTTTATCTTTAGTTCTCTATCTCAGTTGGTCTCTCCAAGCAGAGAGTATTTGGGTTTGGCTCCAATAGAAATCCTTCACAACCTACAATCTCATAGTAAAGCAGAGGTACGTTTCTGGTTTTACTGTTTTGGTGACACAAACTCGAACATGTCGTAAGTGAAGGAAGAGAAAGATTTTGCAAAAACACTGAAGAATGAAGATAACTTAAGGTTCACGAAACTACCCAAAATAAGGTCCAATGTAGCTTCTTGTCAAATTTATTGGCCAATCTTGTATTTTCCATATCTAAAACAGTAATCCTTCACACTTTTGTTCCGAAACAAATCAATTACAGAAAAAAGGAAATTTATGGTTCGGAATGTACAAGGTCACGGATTCACATTTATGGATATGGAAAATGTAACTTTCCTATAGAGACCCATCTTTCAATTTTCCCTATCTTACCCTCTTTTTTTAACCTAGATTTTTTTCTCATAATAAATTATACGTAACGTATCCACTGATGTAGCTAAGCATTAAACACTAAATTTCCAATTCACTCAATATCTTCCCTTCTCTCACACAACTTTCTTTTTCCAAGAATTTCTCTCTCTCTTTCTCTCCATTAGACAACACAACAAGACACTCGAAGATCTCTCTCTCTCTCTCTATAGCCAACGATGAAGATTAGCCGGAACAGTCCGATCAATATCCTCATCGTCTTCTTTCTTCTTACGACCGCAAGAGCAACAAGAAACTGGACTAACCGAACCCACCGAACCGTTCCTAGGGTTCAACACGCGTACTACGCATATCCTCACCGTTCATGCGAATCTTTCTCTCGTCCATACGCACGCTCTATGTGCATTGAGCTCGAAAGAATCCACAGAAGCAGTCGACAACCGTTGTTCTCTCCTCCACCTCCTTCGACGGAGATTGATCAAAGGTACGGCGTCGAGAAAAGACTTGTTCCCTCCGGTCCAAACCCACTTCACAACTGATCCAAGGAAAGAGCTACCTAGGGTTCTTCTCATTTTTTTCTTGTAAATCTTTCTTCTTTCAATTACTTTCTTGATCTTTTTGTATTGTGCAATTAGTCAATTACTACGTTATGAGCAAAACTAGTACTATTTCCATGCTTGTTTTTGGGCTTATCGATTGTGAAAATAGGGCAGAAACAAGCTTGGAAATAGTTTTATTTGCCAAGGATCTTGATCTTCACTTCCTTGTTATATTACTGCATCAAAAATCTTATTTTAAAACAAAACGGTAGAAAAAAAAGAAGGTCAGCTCCATACATTGTTTTGATTGAGACAGGAGGTTGAGATTTGACAAACAAAAGAAACACATGAGTTCCATTAATTTGGGAGCTGAATCTCTCTCTTGGCTCTTGCTTTGGAGTTTTAAATAATAAATGGGCTTTATGATTTATGGGCCTTCTCAATTGGATATTATGGAATTTGATTGCCAAAAATCTCCTACGGGTAAGAAGAACCGTAAGATTATGATATGTAGATGCAAACCGAGAAGGTGCTACAAAGGTAAAATGATTTATTTTGATATTTTCCAATTCTTTAATTATTTGTTTTCAAACTCTTTAATTTCAAAATATTTTTCTCTATTGCTAGTCTAGATTTTTATGATGAATTATGCAACCCAAGTATTAAGAAAATAAAATACTTTTCATCGTTAAAAACTATAACTATTTACCACACTATTTATGAATCACTAATTTTTAAAACATTAGTTTGTAATAATTACAAATGAGAATCTAGTGTGTATTATTTACAAAACTTTTTTTTTTTAATCATTGAATGATGATGTGACAAATAGAAATAAATCCTTCAACACATAAAAAAGAAAGAAAACAATTGTGATTCAAAACTGAAAATTGAAGCTGTGACTTCCATAGCCAAAACTGATGATCATTTTCATTTGTGCCACTCTAGATTGGTGGCCCACTGATAAGTGTGACTTTTGCCAATGTCCTTGTCTCCTTGGGGCCAATCTGGTCTCAACAATTTGGTATGTCCTATACATTTCTTATTATATTATCACACACTTTTAAAAACATCATTCTTTTCTTGATTTCAGGATTTGTCTAATTCCATCCTTCAAAATGCAATCAAGGGTAACATTGATTATATATATATATATATATGTTGTTGTATCTTTTTTAACTAATGATAAATTGTGAGTACACTATAATAAATAAATGTAACAGCATTTGGGGAAATGAAATGAGGATACGAGTTGGAGGATGGTTACAAGACCGGATGTGGTTAATGCTAAACCGGGTTCTACACTCTTACGTACGTACGCAGAGCTAGGCATGACCACGGTTACGGTTATTACGGTTACGGTCGATTAACCGCCGGTTACGGTTATAAATTTTCTTTAACCGTAACCTTAACCATTATATATACGGTTAAAACGGTTACGGTTAAAAACGGTTACGGTTACAACGGTTACGGTTAAATACGGTTACGGTTATTTGATGCTTACGATACGATTAATATCGGAGGTAAAATCTTACGAGTTACCTAACTTATTATACTACTTTGAATAGAATTAAAAAGTATGTTATAAACCAAATTTTCTTCATTTTTAGCAATATAGCATTAGAACATATTTGTTTGAAAAAAAACCATTTTTCCTAACGTAGATTTTTTAATGTGCGGTATCATTTACTTTTTTTTGAAAATCTTTATCTGAACATTCGAAATTTGTTTTTGCATCATCCACAGCTACAATCATATTTTTAAAGTCTTTACTATGCGGTTTTGACACGTTTACGGTTAATTGACAGTTACGGTTAGTATATTTTTTAACCGTAACTAATCTGTTTTGACGGTTAACGGTTACGGTTTTTAACCGTTTTATACAGTTACGGTCCGGTTACGGTTGAGAAACGGTCCGGTTACGGTTCGAAATACGGTTACGGTTAGCTTTTGGTCATGCCTACGCAGAGCTATAGTCACGTTTGGTCTAAGAGGAAGGATATGGATTAGAGATTGGAACGCTAAGAACTCATATGATCTAATGAAATACTCAGTCGAAAAGGGTTACAAGATCGATTCATACGAAGTCGGGAACGAGCTTTTTGTTCATCTAGAGTATCGGCGAATGTGGAAGTGAAACAGTATGCACAAGACATGTAGAAGCTAAAGAGAGTGGTGGAGAAGCTGTACCAAGATGAGAAAACTCAGCCTAAGGTTCTAGGATCAGCTGGTTTTTACGATGAGAGATGGTTGAACGAGTTTCTTCTTCACTCTGGTTTCTAAGTTGCTCTTTCTGTCTTAGATCTTGTTAGGTTGTTATGGTGGTTCCGTATTAAGGGAAGATTAAAAACTATAGGTATTGTAAAGTAAAATCCCAAAAACTATATACATGAATTGCTTAACAAATCTCACATAAACTAACAAAACTTCTCTTAGGAGACAAGGAATCTATCTAAACTGGGTAATCTCTTTGACGTACTAAGAGATCCTAACTAGAAACCCTTTGTGAGACCCTAAGCTAATGACTTGAATTAAGGGAAAGGTATTGCTTAAGCAGCCTTTCCCAAACTAAACCTTCCTTGTCTCCAAATGCAATATCTATCTATATATTAGTTGACGGTACTATCCAAAATTTCAAGATACGATTCTGAACAAACTGTAGCGTTATGAACGATACCAGGGAGCAACGAGCAAAACCTGTACCAATGGCAGCTGTGGTGGATCAATGGAAGGAAACAGAGCTAAGCAAATCAAGAAACAAGTGTGTGTTATGTTTTCTTTCTTTGTTGTCCTGTTTAAATGTTGCTAAGAGGCTAATGGGTTTGAGATTTTTGCAGGTACGAGAAGCTAAGTGAGAAGATTGTGTCATGGGAAGATAAGAAGAGGAAAAAGGCAAAGAGAAAGCTTCATAGAACAGAGGTGCCTCTTCTTTTCTTTTTTTTCTCCACTTTCCTTTGGTTCCAGAAACTGATTCTTGCATAATTAAAGAACTAATCGATGTGATGAATGTGAAGAGAGCTGTAGAGAAAACAAAGTTGAAGGCGGTCCAGAGGTTCACGGACGAAAATGAACGTATTGAGATCATCGTTGCAAGTGCAAGAGCACATGCATATGAGAGTCGAATGAAAGAAGAGTTGAAGGTTAAGGAGAAAGCAAACCTCATGAGAACAACTGGTAGGAAACCCTCTGCATGCCTCTGAATCCTGCAAAGTTGCAGGAAATGTAAAACCGAACATTCTTTAACCGCTGATCACTATTGTCCAACATGTAAAATGCAGACACAAATACATAAGGTGTTTTAATCTATTAGAGTATAAGAGAGAGATAACACACATGTGATCCATTATGGCACAAATCTGCAAACCAAAACTTTAGACAGTTGCACCACAATACTAAAACCAAGAGTTCAAAATCACAAATACAATGCCCAAGCTTGTAATAAATAATATTTTAAAAAATGTGCAAAATTACCACAAATCATAAAAACTTCTTCTGAGTTCCGACCATCAAAGACTCCAAGTCCTAAAAAAGGGTTCCATAATGAAACTACAAACACACAGACTGGGCCGAGCAACCAATAATAGGAGTCATGAGTTCAGAACCAATCTCATGATGATGTTATTTCATGCACCAACCTTTCTAGAATAGGGTAAGCAAAATATAGTACCAGACCAGCTGGAACTGCGAAAAGTATTGTGAGGAGGAAGTAAAGGGCAAGAATTATGAGGCTACCAGGTATAGCAAAGAATACGATCAGAAGGAAGATGATCACAAACGGAAACTTGGAGGTGAAAGAGATGAAAAAATCGAGAGATTTGTGAAAAGAGAAGTGTTGTCTGCTTGGTTGGTTACTGTGGTCATGATGTGGCAAAAGTTCTGTAGACTGGTTACGCAATAAAGGTCTTGCAATCAGATTGTTGTTGCTGCTCTGGTTCCCCAGAGACATGCTACACCTAGGAGTCGGAACCGATTGCTGGTTATCGCTGACCAAAGAAGCATGGCTTGTCCTGTCACCATTCAGACTCTCAACCATCCAGAGAAGGAAGAAATTCTTCCGAGGGAACTTTAGATTACCCTTGTAGACAATCCTGAACGAAAGCAACTGACACCACGGGCACGAGACGAAAAACGGAATCCTGATATCTTGGCTCGAGAGTCTCAAAACAGCAGATTGGAGCCCAAAGACACAATTCTGACAAAGAGTATGACCACACCATAACACATAGGGAACATTCTCGACAATGTTGAAAGATTCCCAACATATGGGACATTCTAATCCCTCTTCATCCCTGCTAACATTTGAAACCTCGTCATCAGAGCATTGAGAGGATGCTTGAGCTGGATCTTTAGGGGACTTCTTTAACCCCATACTTCCAATGACATTCGACGCAAAGCCCCACATTTTGATCAAACTTTATAAAATCTGAGCCAATGTACAAAACATTACCCAGTAACCTTCCCAGATTGAAAAGAGCTTCTTTGACCAATACCCATCATTTTTACGAACCTGGATAACAAGTGAAGAGAATCATAGATAGTTAAGCAAACATTACATATGAAAATATTCACAAAAACACAAACTTTTCAGAATAACAAACATTATATATGTTATTGGGACATGAACAAGATTACAGATCAGAAGAATGGCAAACAAAAAAAAAAAAAAAACTGTGCCCTCGAAAGCTCAATGTACAAAACAAAACAAAGGTTGATTCATCTTAATCAAAACCTTAAATATACTCATAAACTCGCATGAACTTTTAGATGCAGAAGACGCAATAGATCAAAAAGAGCAATCTAGGTTAAAAATTCGATTTTTAGGTTCCGTAACAGATGAAGTTTTACTTACCGTTAAATCTTTCAAATCAGATACGCAGATGTATTGAAGAAGATATCGAAACGGGGAAGAGAGGAAGAAGAAGAATAAAGCCTCTCTCTTTTTCTCTCTCTCGTTGATCCGCCGTGATAGTTTTTTAATGGCAAAACGCAAATAAAGACATCGGAGCAGACGAAGAAAACGGCGTCGTTTAGATGGTTGCTTAGAGAGTATTGACCCTTGTTCTAAAAATCCCCGCCTAAACCCGATTACTCCCCGCTTAATCGCTAGGCCCACCCTATCCGCCTCGATTAATGACTAATCCCTTAAAGAAATCAGTCACCCGATTACTCTCCGCCTAATCCGATTACTTCCCGCCTAATCCGATTATTCCCCGCCTAATCTTACATATCCCGATTATTTTTAGATTGCTAGTATAAAAAAACTTTTTATTTTTGTTATTCAATCATTTGAATTGAGAGTTTGTAATGTTTTACAATAATTTATGTTCAAATTTTAATAAAAATCATAAATTTGTCTCAAAAATACATTTTTATGTGTTTACTGCAATTTTGAAAATAATATTAGATTAATATGTTTTAAAAATATTAAAATAACCCTAAAACTAATCCCCGATTAATCCCCGATTTTTCGATTAATCGCTAGGCCCATGCCGAGCGCCCGACTAGCGCCTAGCGATTTTTCAAACAAAGGTATTGACCAATGTGCACGTGCCATAAGTGTGATGGTTTTAACGGCTGAATGCTTTTTTTTTTTTTTTAATTAATTGTTTTGTCAAACCTTCTTGATGAGTGAGAGGGTTTCGAGGTTTGAGGTATATTCGCTTAAAACGACAACTCAATTTTTGTGTCGTAGCTGGTTTTGATGTTGTGGCTACTTCATCGATCCATCTCTCTAATCACAGTTGTAGAAATTTGTTCTTGACATGAAGTTGAAATTCTGATTAGGCTCTTTCTCGATTCGCTTTTGGTGAATCAAATTTCTTTAATTTCAGGTGATTCCTCAATCTCACGACCTCTCTGTTTCTTAATTTTTCGATTTTGTGATTAAAGCTCAACGATTTAGATTAGTATTATCTGAAAGTTTTCATCTTTTTTTTTTCTCTTTAACTGTAGACTATGGCTGATTGGAAATTATTAGGTTTTTGATTGCATTAGTACGATCTGGTTATGTAATTTTGATGATTGTGGACGTAATTTTACTTGGGCATTGAGAATTTCCCAACTTTCTTACTTGTTTTGTTTGTTTCCCATTTCCAGTGAAGAAGCTTTTGACAGGAGCATATACTAAGTCTTGGGCAAACCCTCTTTATAGTGGGGGAGGTAATAAGGTGGTTTCTGGTTTGATCTACAATGATGTATCAAGCCATTCCCACGGCGGCAACCATTCGTGGTGGAACTCCAACAGAGAGTGGTGATTACGTTGTTACTTTGGATCAGATTCCACGGTGGAGTGATGTTGAGCAGAGGTCATCTTTGGAGGGTGAAACAGGAGATCCTGCACATTCGAATCCACGGTATGCAAACCCTTTGGCTTCGTCTTCTGAAGCAGGGAGCAGCGGGAATGGGATGGTATCTAAGTTTCCTGTTGACCACGAGATAAACTCTAGAATATACCTGTGGAGAGGGGAACCTTGGAACCTTGAGGTTGATGCTGTTGTGAATTCGACAAATGAGGTAAGCTGATGTCAAGGAATTGTGTTTGATTGCGTGTAAGTAAGTTGCTCTTAATGTGCGTCTTTTGATATGGTTGAATTTCTTGGAATTGGAGGACAGAACTTGGATGAGGCACATAGCAGTCCTGGTCTACATGTGGCTGCTGGACCTGGCCTTGCAGAGCAATGTGCTACATTGGTATAAACACTTTATTTCACTAATTTCTAAAACAAGATTATTTATATATACTATTAAAGGGATTATATTATGTATTGTCTTAGATGGTTGCGTGAAAGAGTATTTTTTGCTTATTCTTTGTTTCTTGACAGGGTGGATGCAGGACAGGGATGGCAAAAGTAACAAATGCCTATGATCTACCAGCGAGGTAATTGGTGATGGAGAAAACAGTTTTAAGATAAATTCAGTATTTACCTAGAAGACTAAAAAAGAAAGAAAATTGTGCTCCTTGAATTTAGCCTCTGCTCTATCTTTCAACTATCCTTTTGTCCGTATGATAGAGCTTCTCCATTGTTGGCTTGTTGCTTCTGTACAGTTTTTACATCCTGTGTGAGTACTACATACTGTGATTTCTGATGAATTTTTCAAATACCAAACATTCTGTGCGACTTTAAAACATTTTGTGCGACGTAGTCCCCAACTCCAAAAAATGTTTTTTTTTGTTGTGTCTTGTTCAGGCGGGTTATCCACACAGTAGGACCCAAGTATGCAGTAAAGTATCATACAGCTGCTGAGAATGCTCTAAGTCACTGCTATAGATCTTGTCTGGAGCTTCTCATAGACAGTGGCCTTCAAAGGTGTGTGAAGTGAAATTACTTTCCTTATTTTATTTGCAACAATCTGATTCTTTAGTAATTTTGTGATTTTCTTTGTTTTCTAAACTCAAGAACTTGATTTTGGTTTGCATACAACATTGCAGTATCGCTATGGGCTGTATATACACAGAAGCCAAAAACTATCCCCGAGAACCAGCTGCTCATGTTGCCATAAGTAAGATAGTTCTTCTCTTTTTGAACAGTCTCTTTGCTTTTGATCAAATGACTGTCAAGTTTCCAACTCATGGGTTGTGCGGTTTTCAGGAACTGTTCGCCGCTTTCTAGAAAAGCAAAAGGATAAAATCAGTGCCGTTGTTTTCTGTACCACCACATCCTCTGATACAGAGATATACAAACGGTATCTTAATTCGCTGCAACTGGTTTGCAAGAACCTTTACTTATTTTGTGTAATCGTAGTAATCGATTTGCTCATTTTCAGTTTCGAGAACCTTTGCTTTCAGAATTATTCACATAAATACCATAGCATGTAGAAATGCTGGCAATGTATATACCATAATTTCTTATAGTTAAGCAATGCCGAACATTGCTGAATTTGACTCTCTAAATGTAGATTACTTCCACTTTACTTTCCTCGAGATGAACATGAGGAAGAGGTTGCCATCTCAAAGCTTCCAGCTGATGTTGGAGATGAAAATGGTGAGACGGTTATAGACGAACGTAAAATCAGAATACAGGCGCTGCCAAATAAACCTTCACCCAGATCTTTTCCAACTCCACTCGAGCGCCCTTCTACTGATCTTACTTTGTTACGCAGGTTGGTGAACTCTGACTGCTGCAGTCTTTGCAGTTTATTGTATCACTACTTTTCACTCTATTAATAGCCATATGATTTCAGGAACTCGAATCATCTTGATTCGTATCTGGATCCTGCCTTCATGTCCTTGATTAAGGATCCAGATGAAAGGCGCAAAGAACAATGGGAGAAGACTGCACAAGCACAAAGTGGATTCAATTTTGTTAAATTGCTAGGATTTGGTGATCTAGGAGGACCCCCTCTCTCTGCTGCAGAGGAATACTCACTTCATTCGCGATACCTAGCGAAAGCTAATTCTCTCAACCTTTCCGAGATTGCAGAGATGAAAATTGTGTATGGTTTCTATGTCCTTGGTTTTCTTTCTCTCGCTTTGCCTTGCATAAGTTCACTTTATATGCCCTTGAGCCAATGACTACTGGAACAGACATTGACAAAGCCCTTTCTGTTTTCTTTCTTCAGCTACCGTGGTGGTGTTGACACCGAGGGTCATCCTGTAATGGTTGTTGTAGGAGCTCACTTTTTGCTGCGTTGTCTTGATCTGGAGCGTTTTGTGCTTTATGTTATAAAGGTAAGCACGCATAGCATACCTTCTCTAACATACTGCAGTTCTGTCTCAAAAACTATCTTGTATTGATTTTCTTTGACTTTATACGGTGTCTGACGATACTGTAATTGGTGCAAATTTACAGGAATTTGAACCTGTGATACAAAAGCCTTACTCGATTGTCTATTTTCATTCTGCAGCATCTTTACAAGTGTAAGTTGATTGTTAATATTGTTTATTGGAAAAAGACTCCTGTGCTCTATAAACTTCACTAACATTTTTTTGCTTTTACGGGTCTTGATTTTACAATGTGAATAAACAGCCAACCAGATTTGGGATGGATGAAAAGATTACAACAGATACTTGGTCGAAAACACCAGCGTAACCTTCAGGTATGAAATCACACCTACTAAACCTCATAGAGGAAGTTTCCTCCTTGTCCCAATCCTGATCATCTCTGCTTCTTCCAGGCAATCTATGTTCTTCATCCAACTTTTCACTTGAAGGCTACAATTTTAACTATGCAATTCTTCGTGGATAATGTGGTAAAGTCCTGAATTATTTCAAAGTCCCAGCCTTTTCCCCCGGTAGACTCGAGTCATTCTAATTTGCTGTCGTTTTCTTGTTCCATTTCGAAAAATCCGATAAGGTTTGGAAGAAAGTTGTATATGCAGACCGACTTCTGCAGCTGTTCAAATATGTTCCTCGTGAGCAGCTGACAATCCCAGACTTTGTTTTCCAGTAAGTTGAGTCTCCTCTTTACTCTCTATTATCATTGTTCAGTTGTCGATTTTTTTTAATCACCGGGTCTTGTGTGAAAAATCGCAGGCATGATCTTGAAGTTAACGGAGGAAAAGGTCTAATCGTTGATCCAAGAACAAAATACGTTTACCAACGGCCATGAACCAAAATCAAAGACAGTTACTTTATCCAGTACTTGTATGTTTGCTTGTGCAATATTTCTTCATTCTTTCATGCTTATCTTCTTCTCAAGATTTTCGCTACCCTTTTTGTGTATGATGATCCTGGGAGCAAATAAAAGTCTTCTTCTTCTAATGTAATCTAAAGTTTGAATCTTTGTTTATAAATCCATTTTCTCAGCAGAACAAAAAAAAAGAAAAAGAGCCAAAAGTCTTCTCTTTTTTTCTCTGTTTGTCAATGTTCTTGTTCAGCTGAAGATGACGCAGTACATGCCATTGTTTAGATCATGTTCGAGCTTACGATTAGTAAGTCAGCTTCATGCTCACCTCCTCGTCACCGGCCGTCTCCGTCGTGATCCTCTTCCTGTGACGAAGCTCATTGAATCATACGCTTTCATGGGTTCTCCAGATTCGTCTAGGCTCGTCTTTGAAGCTTTTCCTTACCCTGATTCCTTCATGTACGGTGTTCTCATCAAATGCAACGTCTGGTGTCATTTACTCGACGCTGCCATTGATCTGTACCATAGGTTGGTTTCGGAGAAGACCCAGATCAGTAAGTTTGTGTTTCCGTCTGTTTTAAGGGCTTGTGCGGGTTCGAGGGAGCATCTGAGTGTTGGTAGGAAAGTCCATGGGAGGATTATTAAGAGCGGTGTAGACGACGACGCTGTGATAGAGACGTCTCTGTTGTGTATGTATGGTCAAACGGGGAATTTAAGTGATGCAGAGAAGGTGTTCGATGGAATGCCTGTGAGAGATCTTGTGGCTTGGAGTACTCTTGTTTCTAGCTGTCTCGAGAATTGTGAGGTGTTGAAAGCATTGCGGATGTTTAAGTGTATGGTGGATGATGGTGTTGAGCCCGATGCTGTGACGATGATCAGCGTTGTAGAAGGATGTGCTGAGCTTGGATGTTTGAGGATTGCTAGGTCAGTCCATGGACAGATAACGAGGAAAATGTTTGATTTTGATGAAACACTGTGTAATTCTTTGCTTACAATGTACAGTAAGTGTGGGGATTTGCTTAGCTCGGAGAAAATCTTTGAGAAGATCGCCAAGAAGAACGCTGTTTCGTGGACAGCTATGATTTCTAGTTACAATCGTGGCGAGTTCTCTGAAAAGGCATTGAGAAGTTTCAGTGAGATGTTAAAATCTGGAATTGAGCCGAATTTGGTTACGCTTTATAGCATTTTGAGCTCTTGTGGATTGAACGGGTTGATTAGAGAAGGCAAGTCGGTCCATGGTTTTGCAATTAGACGAGAGCTGGATCCGAACTACGAGTCGCTTTCTCCGGCCTTAGTTGAGCTGTACGCTGAATGCGGGAGACTCGGTGACTGTGAGACAATTCTACATGTGGTTGGTGATAGAAATATTGTGTTATGGAACTCTCATATATCTCTATATGCACACAGAGGTATGGTGATTGAGGCATTGTGCTTGTTTAGACAGATGGTGACATGGCGAATAAAACCGGACTCATTCACTTTGGCAAGCATAATCTCTGCATGCGAGAATACTGGTTTAGTCCGGCTAGGGAAACAGATTCACGGACATGTTATAAGAACGGATGTTTCGGATGAGTTTGTGCAAAACTCGGTGATAGACATGTATTCTAAAAGCGGATTTGTAAATTTAGCATGCACAGTGTTTGATCAAATCAAGCATAGGAGCATTGTGACATGGAACTCAATGCTCTGCGGGTTTTCTCAGAATGGTAACTCCTTAGAGGCGATTAATCTCTTTGACTATATGTATCATAGCTGCCTCGAGATAAATAAGGTTACATTTTTGGCGGTTATTCAAGCGTGCTCAAGCATAGGTTCACTGGAGAAAGGGAGATGGGTTCATCACAAGCTCATCGTTTGCGGTATAAAGGATCTTTTTACTGATACAGCTCTAATCGACATGTATGCCAAATGTGGAGATCTCAACACAGCTGAAACCGTCTTCAGGGCCATGTCGAATAGGAGCATTGTGTCATGGAGTAGTATGATCAACGCGTATGGAATGCACGGACGGATAGGATCCGCCATATCTACATTCAATCAAATGGTGGAATCTGGAACCAAACCTAACGAGGTTGTCTTCATGAACGTTCTCTCTGCTTGTGGTCACTCTGGTTCCGTTGAAGAAGGCAAGTACTACTTTAACTTGATGAAATTATTTGGCGTATCACCAAACTCGGAGCATTTCGCCTGTTTCATCGACCTTTTGAGCCGTTCTGGTGATCTCAAAGAAGCATATAGAACCATCAAGGAGATGCCTTTCCTAGCTGATGCTTCCGTTTGGGGTTCTCTGGTCAATGGATGCAGAATCCATCAGAAAATGGATATCATCAAAGCCATTAAAAATGACATTTCGGATATTGTTACCGACGATACGGGATACTACACTCTTTTGTCCAATATATATGCTGAAGAAGGGGAATGGGAAGAATTCAGGAGAATGAGATCAGCTATGAAGAGTTTGAATCTCAAGAAAGTTCCTGGGTACAGCGCGATTGAGATTGATAAAAAAGTTTTCAGATTTGGAGCTGGGGAAGAAACCTGTTTCCAAACAGAGGAAATCTACATGTTTCTTGGGAATTTACAGAATCTAACTCTTGAAGAAGATTATTCACAGATCAACGAATGAAGCACAAGTCATATATTTTTAGAGCCATGTATATATATTCTTTATTGACCCAATAGAAAAAAGAGTTGCAGATTTTGTAATAACCAACCAGCTTAATACAAATCAATCATGTTTTTCTTTTCTTTGGCCCTTCTGAGAGAGGACAAGATATACAAAGGGCAACCAACACCCACAAACATGGGGTGAGGTGATTGAAAATAATAAAACATCGATCGCTGAATCAGTCTTTGTTCATTGTTACTTTCTCGGGTTCTTTTTCCCTCTATAATGTTCCTCAAATCGGTTTTGTTTCAAGAAAAACTTTTATGTTAATATCACTGTTGGGGGAGTACCTGCAGGGCACCTTTGTCGCCTCGGCCTTCTAGTTGCATTTCCCCATCCTGTAAGGCTCCTATCTTCCAGTCCCACCATTTGTACACTACTGTTATTCATTGGCTGCGCCAAAGACGAGCAAACCGGAGCTCTGTCAATGTTGCTGACCATTCGTTTTCTTCCTCGGTTTGAGCTCCTTCGGGCCACTCCTGAGTTCCAATTGTAGCCTGTGGCTTTCATAAGTCCCTCAAACATCTGAAGATCTTCGGTTACTTCGAGCCTAGACAGAGAAGCAAGCCCAGGGAGAATATCCCTTTGAAAATCCCGCTTTGGTCTTCCTCGTCTTGCTTGTCCTCTTCTTGGCCTATTTGTTGTGATACCCACAGAACCCGTCCCATCAAATTTCAGATATCCCGGAATTAAAGGCTTCGGCATGTAGTCTTCTTCTTTGGTCAGGAGTAAGTTCAGAGTCATTGTCTCGAAATAATCAAACTCACCTGAAGAATATTCTTCATGACAGCCTTCAGAATCTCTGGCTTCCAAACAAGCATCAATTTTTTTCTCTAAATCATTGCCACAAGAAGCTATTATGTTCACAAACCAAGAGAGCGGGTCCTTGGCAACTGCATCAGTCAAAGAGGAAGCAGCTTCATCAGTATTCCGGCAATGGTAAGACAGTGAGATAGTGACGATAGCTTCTGCTGCTGCCTCAATGAGTTCATCCAAAGAATCTCCAGCTTCACCTTTCTCTAACCCTGAAATGTCTGCAGCTCTGTTCACTGGACATTTCGCTACTTCATCTTCATTCTCAAGAGTCGGGAGAGCTTCCAAATCTATCAAAGTAGTTGCTTTTGTTTCCATTCTTGGATTAGAACACAAGCCAGAATCTTCATCCTCGCTAGCACAGAAATTCAAGTCAATGTGCTGCCTGTGAGTGGCAGCTTTTTTACCTTCTTCCTTGTCCAGAACAACTGCTTCAGAAACCGAGGTTTCACATGGCAGGTTAATATCGAGGTTTCTCTTCACCAAGGTGTTTACTTTCTTGGGTTCATTAGAGATACACACAGAAGAAGTGATAAGGGAAGGGTGCTCCTTGCAAATAGAATGCTTCTGAGAGATAGGGAAACCAAGAATCTTTCTACTGCTCTGTGAATTGGCCATTTCAACATGTCTCAAGTTGGCGTCATTAGAACATGAAACAGACCTCAAACCATTCTGAGGAGATACATTATTTGAGCTGTCACCCATATCACTTCCATCCATGAATTGATGATTTGCAGAAGCATTCAAATCCAAACCGCCATTGGTTATTCCATTTTTGTTAATGGGCATAGGTTTTATCGAGGGCAACCCAGCAGAGCACTCCTGCTTTTTTGGTCCTTGAAGGTTTTCAAGACTCCGATGCTTCACACTCTCACTCAAAGAACCATTAGTAACAGTCCCTTTTGGGCCATTGTTAAGATGATTAAAGTTTCCTGATGGTAAATTAAAGGCAGATTCCTTCGACACTGAAGAGAATCCTTGGTTAAGCCCGTTAGAATCACGGCTTCTCATCTCCGCACTTGAGTCTGCTCTTGCTTGTGTAGTAAAATTCAAGAATGGATTCGCTTGCAGTGGCAGGGGTTTCTGATCTGAGCTGCTACTTCGGTTCTCCCAAGATGAAATCCAATGGCTCCAAGGTCTGACAGATTCAGGGCGGTAGCCATGATTCAAGCTTGGAGCATTTGATGCCACACTTGAATCCACATAGCTATCATACGAAACTTCAGGATTCCTTTGAGGAGCTTCCCATTCAAAAGATGCTCTTTCGCCGGATAACTTCCTATGGTCAGTTGAAGGGTAGCCCAGAGGTTGAAATGCACCGTTAGAATGAACTTGTACCGAATGGGAAGGCAGGCATAACTTGTCTCTTGGAGTGCTTTTTCCGCTCCCTATAACCATGCAGCAATAGAGAAACATCAGAGAGTAGAAGATAAGCAAATAGCTACTGTATCAGTAACACAATCAACAAAAACCAATCTAGAAAGACATGCACTGCCATCACAAGAGCTCTTTGCCAAACTTTCCCCACATAAAATGGAGCAGAAGGCATAAAACAGTTTCACCTCCCATGAATATAGTTTCAAAGGGTAGAGAAACGAACATGTAACTTTAATGAAAAATCTCACCTGCTTGTAGAACCATCCATCCATTTTGACTTGCATTTTCTTCCAACCACTGGCCTTGCACATGTGAAATGTTTCTTCCATAAAGAGAATATATGTCCCCGGAAGAAGAAAGAGGAACTGATTCTTGGCAATGGACAGGCTCGTTCAAGTCAGTAAATCCATTTGGTTTCTTCAAAACCAAAGAAGAATCGTTCCGATGAGAAGAAGCACTGCCTCTTTCAAAGAACAACTTTCCATCACCAACTTGTTTTGACTGCTCATAAGGAGGACAAGTCGTATATTCACTCTCTCTATCGAGATACTCATCTGCGGGAAGTTGAAGATCAATCATTGTTCTCCTGAGCTTCACAGGTCTAACCTCTAGCACATCCTTCCCATTTTGCATAGAAACATTACAAGCTGGAGAGCTACCACCTTCACCGCATATCGAGTTTCCCAAAAGAAATCCTCGTTTAATCGCATTTTCCGGTGTAGGCTCATTGTTCTTTCCCCTAACTTCATCCATCAAACTCTTCTGTGTCCTATACAAACGGTGAAGTTCATAAACCTGCATCAACCAAAACAAGAAAAAAAAAAACAGATCAATCAAATATAACAGAAACATAAAACCAAAAGCATTCGAGTTACACGAAAAAGGCATAACTAATTCGATACCTGATTCTTAAAAACAGCTTCGTGTTGAAGCATTGTTTGTTTTAAAAAATCTCTCTCGTAAGAATCTGTCGCAGGAGGTCTCGCCGAGAAACAACAACCATTCTGATACTTCCCAAATGGCAAATTTTGATCACCATTAGAATGTAACATTGAAAAGCTACAAGTATTAGAATCTTCACTTAAATCCCTCATTGAGGGTAAGAAGCTTCCACAATGAACTGTTTCTCCCATTCCTCAATAAAAAAAAAAAAACAACGCTTTATTAGCCCATTGATTCAAATCACCGACGACATTATATGATTTGATCAAGTAACCAATTCAATAAAATGAATGATCCGAGCATTTAAAAAAAAAAAAAAAAAAAAAACATCTGAGCTGAATTTAGCTGTAAAATTCACAAGTAGAACAATAAAAATTCCCAGAAAATTGGAGCCGCCATTGAAGGTGAAGAAGCTGAATCTAAAGCGATCCTTGATTAAGAAACTCAAAATTACTCGAAAAAGGTTTTAAAAAAAAAAAAAGAGAAAGAAGAAAAATCTGACAAACAAATTCATTAGCCGTACGATGAACAGTAGAAATTATCAGATGCTTAAATTTATCAGATAAAGAAAATCAAAATCAGCTTCGATTAATTTCAGAAAAAAAAACAGTAGAAAATTAATATACAAATTAGAAAAAATAATGGAGATAGAGATTATTGATTTACCTCTACTTCTCAGACGACGACACACATCCTCCTCTCCTCTCTAATCTCGCTTAATTACACTTAACTCCCAAATCGGCGACAAAAATTATACAAATGAGATAAAATATTTTAAAAAAGTGTTTTAATTTTTTTGGTTTCTGAGATAATACTAAAAATAAGAAGCGGAGAGAGAGAGAGAGAGGGAGATAGAAAATCTAAGAGGAGAGACTATGGGAGAGAGAAGAAGAAGAAAGCTTAAAGAAGAGAATCAGATCATTATCATCATCATCGTCGACGTCGATCCGCTGGGCCAACTACTCTCTCTTTCTCTCTGTATCATCATCTGTCTTCTTCTTCTCTTTTTCTCTATCTATCTTCTGATTCTTAAAACAAATTAAACAAAACAATAAGACCTTTTTTATTAGAGTGATGAGAGAGAGAGAGAGAATAGTTTGGTGTAGAGAGAGAAAGGAGAGAGATCCCGTAAAATAGTTTTTTAAAAAATAAAATTAAAAATGAGAAAATTACATGAAAACACGAAACGACGCTTCTAACAACAGAGACGCGATATATTTTTGTCAACATCTGGTCTCTTTTTTTTCTCATCATTTTGTTTTACAGTTTTCTTTTAGGCTTTTCAAATTTTAAAGTGACTTTTCTCATGAATTTCAGTTTTGAATGCAAATTAATTTAAATGCAAAGTAATCTTTTCATTATTTGATTTGCAGATTGTATATCCTGAGTAATTATTAGATTTTGTTATATTTTACACACTTGCAGTAAAAAAAAAAAATTCAAATTGTTTGTTAAGTCGTGTTTATGTGAAAGTTGTTTCAGCATTAAATTGTTATTTTTTTCAATGTAGCTTGACTATATTTTTCATTATATATGAATTTGTATAATATATTTATGGTCGGATTTCTCCAGCTTTAACCTAGGAAACGTCAAATAGTTCCGGCGAATCAATTCGAGAGCTGAGTAAATTTTTCTTTTTTTATCTATTTAAGTTAATCTGAATTTTTCAGATTTAAATATTTTTTTAAAAAATACATTTAAATATAGTATACTTACCGAATTTGAAATATATTGATATAAAAATATTTAAATCAAAGAGCAGATTCATTATTTATTCATCATCGTGTAAATTATTATTTCATTATTTATTATTCCTTCCGTGTCAGTTTAGTTGTCGTTTTAGAATTTAAATTTTGTTTCATAATAGTTGTCGTTTTAGGTTTTCAGTGCAAATATTTGGTAAAAATTCCAGTTTTATCCCTACTGTTTTAATGTTTTGGCCAATGAAATTTTTTATAAAATATATTAGTAAAGGGTAAAACAGAAAATTTAATGTTTTTCTTAATTTGTGTGAAAAAACCTTAAACGACAACTAAAACGAAACGGAGGGAATAGTTTTTTTTTCTCTTGGAAACTAGTGTAGTTTTGAATTAAATTTGTGAAATTTTCTTTTTACTACTACAATTTAATTTCTTTTATAATTTTTTCTTTTGGGTTGCAATTTGAGTGGCGTAAATTACAGATCAAAAGTATAATTTTACCCCTAGAGTCGTTCCTTGGCTTTTAACCCTGGGACATTAATTTTAGAATGGTGAAAGCTACACTATCAAAGAATAATCTTTTCTTCATTATTACCTTTAGAAAAACATTTATGTATGCTGTTAAAAAAAATACATTTACTTTTACAATAGATCGAGCTTACGTCTCCATTTGTTTGCTAAACATAAAGCGCGTTGTTTCATTCATTTGGAGAAATCATATCTTTCTCCTTTAATTTGTACTTGCATTACCTATTAAAAATGGTTTATGTTTAGTTTTAGCATTGATGTTCAAATTTTATCCACAAATTAGAAAACATGTTTCTTAACAACTCCAAAGAGTTATGATATTCGAACACGGAATTGATGGTAAAACTAAAGATCTTATTTAACAAAAAATAGTAATGGTTCACTTCATATCTTAATGATCCAAAACCATACATTTTGATGAATGCAACTTATATATGACAATTCTTGAAAGAGGTTTTGAACTCGAGAATAAATAAATAAAGAATCTTTATTGGTTATATTTAATTTCCTAAGAAAACGCAATATTGTATTTTCTAAGACGATAGATATATCATTATTTGATAACTCATCAATCACACTTGTTCTAATTGAATATCTTATTTAGATTTCTAAACTCCATAAACCATAAAAACCCTCTTAGCCAAAAAGTGAATTAGGTAATTAACAATGTAAACAAAAAAAATTATTAGGTTCACTAAAAGTTTTGCTATTAGACAATTCCAAAAGATGCTATAAGAAAATAATTAACAGTAAAAAAAAATGTATAAGCTTTAAGCCTTTAACACGCTATTTTATTGAATTTTACTTTTAAAATTCTATTATATTCACTTGATGTTCTGATAAACAAAAGTTACAAAATATGCTAGTAATATTTAACACTCTTAAAAACAATATAAAATCCTTTAATAATATAACAGATGCATCATATAACACATAAACCACAAAGATAATATACGGTTCAGAAATCAAAATAGATAAAACTCATCTTTGTTCGCATGTGTCTGAAATGGTCTTGCGATTTCTCTAAATACCGGTTAGACAAATGTGACAACTATTTGTCTATTTGTTTTCAATTTTCCTTGATTGGAAAAAAACTGTTTCTATATATGAGCATTAAAATCATACAGTGCTGTGCCTATGACCAATTTACAAATTTATACCCTCCCATGACTTCTCCCAATTTTCTATAAGACCACCACTTTTTACATTAAAAAGTCATAACTTTTTCTTAATTCCATTCATACAAATATTATTCTTTTCAGAATATTAAGATCGAGAAGCTTCTGCTTCCTTTCGAACAAAATATACAAAAAGATACATATATTGGTTAATTAATATAGCGTAAACCAGAAACTATATGTGGTAATTAATTTGGTCTCCATGCTTTGCCTCATGCACACTAAAACAAAGACTTAATATCTTAGTTAAACACTCCTAAATGGAGTAAGAAAAGATAATTAGAGCGAGCAATGATGGCAAAACCCGCAAAAGTTAGCTTAAAATCAAGGACATTTATAAACCTAAGACACTTGATTAAGTTTAAGACCAGATAAGTTACCCTAAATCACAAGTTTGATGATAACACTAGTTAATTTCTAAATGAAGCATCAATTGTTTAATGTTTATAAATTAGGTTAGATTTTAAAGCAATGAGAGGGTCCCAATGTCGATGCAACTTTGAGGTTTTTAGTTTGAAATGTCAGGATTTAAATGACCTTAATTTTGAAGATAATTACGGTTTTGGGATTGGTTTTGGATACTTTTGAAGTTTTGTTTTCTTCTGTTCGTCACTGATTGGTTAATCTAGTATTAAACATAATGTAATTAAAAGGCTTTGTTGTGTAGATTATTACGTAAAATGCCATTCTTCTAAGGAAGCATATTTTCTTTCGAATTTCGTTACGTGTCATACATTTGTTGGATATTATTCAATCTAGACGTTACATTTGTTATATAGTTTTTTTTTAATTTTATCGACCGATATAAGTCAACTTGGAATGTTTATGATTATTAAAACCCACGTACCAGTTGTACAAACCACTGGTGTCAAACAACGATATAAAATAAACATATAGTATAATTAAAATTATTATATACACTAACATTAACGGTAACGTGTTTATGCATTATTAACACGTTAGAAACCGTATGAATTTTATATTTTCTCTCGTGTAAAATAATCAGAAGGACCAAACCTTTGCAAGTACGAATTTATTGTATCTAACAAATGGAATAATATTATTATGATTATAAAAATAAGATTGGCTAGATCTAGCAGTGGAGAAAAAGTAAAGTAAAGATAAGACTTTAAGTGCTTCGTCTTGTAAACCACAAGAACATCATCATGTCATTGAGAGAGCCGACGCAATAACTGATTAAATGTTTCGATGGCTCTGATTAAGTGATTAGAGGATGGTTATAGGTGATATTCATATAGTATTATTAGAAATTTTTTAATATTATTTATAATGTTTGTTTATTATTTGAGATTTTTTACGATATTTCTACTAAATATGTTTGCATTAGTGAAACCAGTTTAAATATCATAAAAAAAAATTGCAAAATCAAAAATTAATATATTAAAACATAGAATTACAAAAGGTAATATTACAATAAAAAACAAATTTCTCTCATTTTCCACAAAAACGCGTTTTCCCGACTAATTCCAAGCCGCCACGTCATCAGAGATTGGTATCACAAGTATCACTCTATTGATACTGCTCAGGTCCAAATCATTTATTTTACCTATTAATTTAATGTTTTTGGACTTATGATACCCATAAAAAATCTGCTACGTACATGGTCTTAGCTTTACAAGTAAAAAAGAATAGCATGATGGTGTATTGGTGTAAGTGTTCGTTTTACTTAAACAAAAATTTTATTACTTGCTCGATAATCGTTAAAATCACCAATAAACTGAGGTCGTTTTGCAACATTTTATTTATCATTTTTAACAGTAAACTTATCAGATCATGATTATTATGTAGTGCATCTAAATAAATTCTTCTTGAGTTTGTTAGTTGTAATTGAAATATGTATTTTGGTGTAATGTCAAAGCTTTTACAAAGTAAGAGACTTGAAATGGTAACCACATAAAGATAAACCACTTTGACCACCAAAAAAAAAAAAAAAAAACCCACAAGTAGAATATTGTTAAAAAGTTGAAATCTGAGATGAACATTTTAGTTGAATTGACTAAAAGTAAAATTTCCACTACATTCCTGAAGAATATATTTGCTATATTGGCAAGAAAAATAAGGTGAATGTGTTATAAAAGAGTATTTGATTTTATGGTAGATATATAAATATTTAATGAAGAGAAAATTATACCCGCAGAAGGATCGGATACTGAAAATAAAGAGATGAGAGGGAGAGAGATTACTTCTCTTGTAATTGAAGTAATGAATTGTGAAGGTGTGTATTACATCGAACGAATTCATTCGTTTATATAGGCGTAAAAAAGTAAATTACTATGCGTGCATAGTGACGGTGGGCTCCACACAAAATAATATTAAAACGTAAAACGATAAACATGTGTGCGCCTCAATCTTTGACATTTGCAATGCTCCCTGTTATTTTCACTTTCGTAACACTCCCCCTTGGAGACCAGTGTCACTATTCTTTTGCGTAATATCTTCTGTTGCCTCGTTAAAAACCTTTCTAGGAAAACCCGGTGGGAAAAACCATAGTAGGTAAAAAGAGTGCAACCGCGCAAGCTCCCCCTCGAATGATCAGGATCATAACTTACAAGTCTTGTTGACGACGCATTCCAATGTTATGAACATGTTTCCTGAATATAGAGGTAGGTAATGATTTCGTGAAGAGATCCGCAGAATTCTCGGATGATCGGACATATTTTACTTCAATGTCTTTATTCTTCACGAGCTCTTGGGTGTATGAAAAGAACTTTGGAGGGATATGTTTGGTTCTATCGCTTTTGATATATCCTTCCTTTGTCTGAGCAACACATGCAGCATTGTCTTCATACAAGATAGTTGGCTCCGTATTCAGACGAATTCCACTACTCGTTTGAATGTGTCGACTTATTGATCGTAGCCACACGCATTCTCTACTCGCTTCATGGAGTGCGATGATTTCAGCATGATTTGAAGAAGTAGCTACAAACGTCTGCTTCTGAGAACGCCATGATATAGCAGTACCTCCAATCGTGAATACGTATCCTGTTTGTGATCGAGCTTTGTGTGGATCTGATAAATATCCTGCATCTGCAAAACCAATCATTTGACCATTTATATTTTTAGGATAAAATAACCCTAAATCAATAGTCCCTTGAAGATAACGAAAAACATGTTTAATTCCGTTCCAATGTCTTCGTGTAGGGGATGAACTAAATCTAGCCAAAAGATTGACTGAAAATGATATATCAGGTCGAGTGCAATTTGCAAGATACATAAGGGCTCCAATTGCACTTAAATACGGTACTTCAGGACCGAGTATCTCTTTATTCTCTTCAGGTGGTCTGAATGGATCACTCTCAACATTAAGTGATCTAACGACCATTGGAGTACTGAGAGGAGTTGCCTTATCCATATTAAAGCGTTTTAACACTCTTTTGGTGTATGTGGATTGATGTACAAATATACCCTTTTGAGTATGTTCAATTTGTAGGCCAAGACAATATTTTGTTTGTCCGAGATCTTTCATCTCAAATTCCCTTTTTAAATAGTTTGTTGCTTTCTGTATTTCATCTTGAGTCCCAATTATATTTAGATCATCAACATATACCGCGATTATCACAAATCCGGATTTTGTTTTCTTGATGAAAACACATGGGCATATAGGATCGTTCACGTATCCTTCTTTCGTTAAATGTTCACTGAGACGATTATACCACATTCGCCCAGATTGTTTTAACCCATATAATAATCTTTGCAACTTTATTGCACATAACTCTTTGGGTTTAGATTTCAATGCTTCTGGCATATTAAACCCGTCGGGAACTCTCATATAGATATCTGTATCTAATGATCCATACAAATATGCTGTAACAACGTCCATGAGACGCATTTCTAAATTTTCATCAGCCGCTAGACTCATCAAGAATCTAAACGTTATTGCATCCATAACGGGGGAATATGTTTCCTCATAATCAATCCCGGGTCTTTGAGAAAATCCTTGAGCTACGAGACGAGCCTTGTATCTCGTAATTTCACTTTTCTCATTTCGTTTTCTAACGAAAACCCACTTGTATCCAACCGGTCTCACATCTTCAGGTGTGAGTACGATAGGTCCGAATACATTTCGCTTATTGAGCGAATCAAGTTCGACTTGTATTGCATCTTTCCATTTTATCCAGTCATGTCTCTTTTGACATTCATATACCGACTTTGGTTCTGGATCCTCGTTTTCCTCATCAATTTCCTTTGACAAAAGGTATGAGAAAACGTCATCAACTTCATCCATTTTATTTCGATCCCAGATCTTTCCATTATGGATATAGTTGATAGAAATCTCATGATTTCCTTCAGGCTCATGATGCTCATCATTGTCATTAGACTCATGATTTGTTTCTTCCAAAATGCTTTCTGCTATTTTGGGAATATCATGCTTTTCAACTTCCTTTCATTTTCTAGGATTTTTATCCTTAGCACCAACTGGTCTACCACGTTTCAAGCGTGTTTTAGACTCACGTGTATCATCTGTTTTTCCACTTTCTTGTGGAATTTCAATTCGAGCAGGGACATTTGCAGCTGGTATATATGATTTAGTTACCGTTTTGGTATCTGCAAAAGCATCGGGAAGTTGATTTGCTATACTTTGCAAATGCACAATTCGTCGAACTTCTATTTCTGACTGTTTTGTAGGAGGATCAAGGTGTAACAGGGATGGTACACACCATTTGATTTCTTTCCCTACTTGCTTATTTTCTCCCCCTAGAACCGGGAATACTTTCTCATCAAAGTGACAATCGGCAAATCGTGCCGTAAAGACATCACTAGTCTGCGGTTCTAGGTATCTTATAATTGATGGAGAATCACAGCCAATATATATTCCCAACCTTCTTTGTGGTCCCATCTTTGTACGTTGTGGTGGTGCTATAGGCACATACACTGCACAACCAAAAATTCTTAGATGGGATATATTTGGTTCTCGACCAAATGCTAACTGTAGTGGGGAGTATTTATGGTATGCACTTGGTCTTATCCGAATGAGTGCTTCTGCATGCAAAATGGCATGTCCCCATACAGAGGTTGGAAGTTTTGATCTCATGATCAATGGTCTTGCAATCAATTGCAGACGTTTAATTAATGATTCCGCCAAGCCATTTTGTGTATGAACATGAGCTACAGGATGTTCAACTTCAATTCCTGTTACCATACAATAATCATTGAATGCTTGGGATGTGAATTCACCAGCGTTGTCTAGTCTAACTCTCTTAATGGAATAATCAGAGAACTGAGCTCTTAATTTGATTATCTGAGTTATAAATCTCGCAAATGCCAAATTTCGAGATGATAATAGACAAACATGTGACCATCTGCTAGATGCGTCAATCATTACCATAAAATAGTGGAATGGTCCACATGGTGGATGTATCGGTCCACAAATATCGCCTTGAATTCGTTCAAGGAACTTTGGTGATTCTTTATCAATTTTGGTTGGCGATGGCCTTATGATCAACTTTCCAAGAGAACATGCGACACATGTCTTTTTATTCCCATGATATATCTCCTGGATTTTCAATGGGTGTCCATGTGAGCTCTCTATGATTTTTCGCATCATCGAGGTGCCTGGATGACCGAGGCGATCATGCCATAATGTGAAATCTTCTGGATTTCTTTTAATCACTAGATGCGATTCGATTGCACTTATATGAGTATAATGCAATCCTAAAGGAAGTTTTGGAAAATTTTCCAATATAAGCCTTTTTCCCGATTTATTAGAAGTTATGTACATATACTTCTTTTCATTCTCAGTTGCAGACTGAGTATCATATCCTTGAAGGTATATGTCTTTGAAACTCAACAAATTCCTTTTAGATTTTGGAGAATACAAGGCATTTTTTATGGAAAACTTGGTTCCATTAGGCAACATAAAGTTGGCCATACCAGTTCCTTCAATCACGTCTACAGGACCTGATATTGTATTGACAATAATGTTTGTCGGTTTTAAGTTAGGGAAATATCTTTTGTCCTTTAGAATAGTGTGTGTTGCCCCACTATCTGGTATACAAATTTCTTGAGCCATTTCCTTGGAGATTGTTTCATCCATTTTTCTGTAATTAACATAAACATTAATAAATATAAGTAAATATTATTGATGTTGAAAACATATAATAATTATACATCAGTTCATTTTTCAGAAACAACATTATTTTAGAACAACTGAAATACATAATAATTATACAATAGCATTACTGGAGACTAGTAGTCTCACTACAAGCATTTCAGTTATCCGCATGAGCGGTCTCGTCGACATCGTTTATAAAGTCGGAAGCTTCGAGGTACGATGTACCCTCAAAGTGCTCAGTAAGATTTACTTCCTTCCCTTTTCCCTTTTGGGACTCTTTGTACAACTTACAAAGATGTTCAGGGGTTCGACATACATGAGCCCAATGCCCTTTTGATCCACATCTGTAACAGATGCTTTCACGCTTTTGAGCGTTACGTCCTTGGGATTCTTTTCCTTTTGAACTTTGATCAGGTCGAACCCATGTATAAGACTTTCTGCTTTGTGGGTTAAAGGATCTTCCACGTCCACGATTGAATCGACGGCCACGACCTCGATAGGTTTGACTTCCTCTCTCCGGATTTTTTACATCCGTTGCATTGACCTCAGGAAATGCTTTGGCCCCCGTAGGCCGAGAGTTGTGGTTCTTAAGAAGAAGTTCATTATTCTTCTCCGCCAGTATGAGAGTCACAATTAACTCAGAGAACCTTTTGTATCCGCAATTTCTATACATCTCTTGCAGGACACGGTGTTCTTTATGAAAAGTAAGGTAAGTCTTCTCGAGCATTTCAGTTTCAGTAATAGGCCTACCACAATACTTTAATTGTGATACTATCCTCAGCATAGCGGAATTATATTCCTCCACTTTCTCAAAGTCCTGGAACCTCAAGTTTTTCCAGTCCTCTAACGCATGAGGGAGAGTTATTTCTCTCTGGTTGTCAAACCGTGCTTTTAAAGCTTGCCACAGCTCTGCTGGGTCTTTTATGTGAGCATAGTCATGTGTCACATTTTCATCGAGATGCTTTCTCAAAAATATTATCGCCTTTGCCTTATCTTTTGGAGGCGATAAATTTTCCGATTTTAAGGTCTCGGATAATTCTTGCGACTCAAAATATAGTTCCACATCAGTGGTCCATGCTATGTAGTTTGCGCCAGTAATTTTGAGAGCCGGAAATTTAAGCTTCTCAATGTTTGCCATTTGTTATCTAAAATAAAGAGAAATTGTTAAAAATGCCCCTTTTTCAATACCCCTTTTCAAAAATGCCCCCTTTGAGAGTCTATTTTTAAGGTTGCCCTCTTTTAATTTTTAATGACCATTTTACCCTTATTTGAAACAAAATTAGGTCCACAAAATACAAAATATTTTTTGGCAGGAAAAGTGATCCCGCAATTTTCCCGCCAAAACACTTGTAAAAACCTTTAAAAAACCTTGTAAAATTTTCCCGTAAAAATTTTTCCCGCCAAAAAATTTTCCCGCCAAAAATTTTTTTTTGCGGGAAAAGTGATTCCGCAATTTTTTTTGCGAAATTTTTTTGGCGGGAAAATTTTTGGCGGGAAAAATTTACAAGGTATTTTAAAGGTTTTTTACAAGGTATTTACAAGTGTTTTGTAAGGTTTTACAATGTATTTTAAAAGGTTTTACAAGGTACTTTAAGGTTTTATAAGGTATTTATAACTTGTAAAACCTTATAAAAAACTTGTAAAACCTTATAACTTGTAAAAACCTTATAAAATAGCTTGTAAAATCTTATAATATCTTATAAATACCTTGTAAATACATTGTAAAACCTTTTAAAATACATTGTAAAACCTTATAAATACCTTGTAAAAAACCTTTAAAATCCCTTGTAAATTTTTCCCGGGAAAATTTTTCCCGCCAAAAATTTAACGCCAGAAAAATTGCGGAATCACTTTTCCCGCAAAAAAAATTTTTTGGCGGGAAAATTTTTTGGCGGGAAAAAATTTTACGGGAAAATTTTACAAGGTATTTTAAAGGTTTTACAAATTTTTACAAGTGTTTTGGCGGGAAAAATTGGGGGAGCAATTTTCCCGCCAAAAAATATTTTGTATTTTGTGGACCTAATTTTGTTATATTTCCTTATATATTTATGATATTTTTTATTAAAAGAAGGGTAATTTAGTCATTTTGTACATAAAAGGGGTATTTTTAAAAATGGACATCCAAAGGGGGCATTTTTGAAAAGGGGTATTGAAAAAGGGGCATTTTTGTGAGTCTCCCAAAAATAAAAACATGGAATATTATTAGAAATCTTTATTTAATTTATTTTAAAACATATTTAAAATGAACCGTTTACATTAATAATGCAAGCGATTACAAAAAGAAGAAGCGTATAAACAAATAAACTAATGTTCAAACGAAATTCTTGCGGAGTAAAATCTACAACGCAAAGATTATAAATACACATAATAATGATTCCAAAAACAAATATTAAGAATAATCGAAACATTCTTCAAAACTTCAAAACTTCAAAATTCTTCTTCTTTTTTCGGAGAGAGTTTTTAGAGAGATGAAAAAAATTTTTGTTTTGATGAAATGAATGAGAAAATAAGTGTATTTATAGATTGAAAAATACTATTCCTAGCCGTTGGAAAGATTTGAAATTTTTGAAAAAATTTTGAAATTTTTCTTTGAGACCGTTGGCGAAAAAGATTTAAACAAAAATTAATCTGAAAAATTAGAGATCAATCAAACAAAAATTATCGATTCAGATAAAAATATTTATACAGATGAATAAACCTTCTTGTATAATAATCATAATATAAACAAATAATTCACGGTGATATTATGGTCACAGAGTCATTCACATAGAAACAGTAAATAAATATGTGGCGGCTCAGCCGACCGGTAGCAGAAATAAATATTTAAAGCAGTGAATAAAATTAAGGCGGCTCAGCCGACCGGTAGCAGAAATAAATATTTAAAGCAGTGAATAAAATTAAGGCGGCTCAGCCGACCGACATCAGAAATAAATATTTAAAGCAGTAAATAAAATTTCAGGTGGCTCAGCCAACCATTGACAGAAAATAATTAATTATGGTGCATGAAGTAATATAGTTTCTTTTATTTATTTATATAATTTTCTTTTCTATTTTTTTTTTTTTCATTCTCATATTTTTCTTTTAACGAGGCGACATACAGCCCGGTATAATACCGTATTTTTTTTTCAGCGATCATAGAGTGATCGTGCTGATAACGTGTTATAAAAGAGTATTTGATTTTATGGTAGATATATAAATATTTAATGAAGAGAAAATTATACCCGCAGAAGGATCGGATACTGAAAATAAAGAGATGAGAGGGAGAGAGATTACTTCTCTTGTAATTGAAGTAATGAATTGTGAAGGTGTGTATTACATCGAACGAATTCATTCGTTTATATAGGCGTAAAAAAGTAAATTACTATGCGTGCATAGTGACGGTGGGCTCCACACAAAATAATATTAAAACGTAAAACGATAAACATGTGTGCGCCTCAATCTTTGACATTTGCAATGCTCCCTGTTATTTTCACTTTCGTAACAGAATGGAATTTATTTTCTACCTCTTAGAATATATATTATATAGAAATAGACAAATAGTAATGAATAATGATACAAATAAAATGTGATTTTTTCTTATTTCTCCGCTTAAGAACGTTTGCCACTTCTTTTTCTAACGTTAACTTCTCTCCATTTCCTAATAACTCGTTCCGATTTGTGAGAAAGTGAAAACACAAATGTTCTTATTCTAGGTTTTTAAAAATTTGTTTATCACATTAGACATTTATTATTTTTGGATAAACTGAATTATTTGATTTTAGCTTACCATAATTTATATATTTCCTCTAAGAACTTCTAAAACCATAATCTAATTTTCTCTAAATGAATTGCATATGTAGTTCAAACCATAATCTAACACAACAAAACCCCATTGATCAATCTTGCATGCATTTGCGGTTTTCTCCATTTAGATTCCATCTTTTTATTACTCGGATTTTAAACTACAATTACTTTTCTTAAATAGTTTCGCATCCTAGTCAATGGCTCACCGTACGGATACATAAAACCAAGTCGGGGCATTCGTCAGGGCGATCCTCTTTCACCATACCTTTTCATATTGTGCTCGGAAGTTCTATCTCATCTTCTTACGAATGCAACTACATCGAACAAGCTCAGAGGTATGAAAATAAGCACAATAGGACCGACAATTAATCTTGCTTTTCGCAGATGATGCCTTATTCTTTTGCCATGCACATCCGAAATCATGTTCATCAATCATGGGAGTTCTAACTGAATATAAAAAAGTTTCGGGTCAAGCGGTTAATCTTCATAAATCAGCCATCACTTTTGGATCAAAAGTCAAACCGCAAGTGAAGACTAGACTGAGGAGAATTCTAAATATTCACAATGATGGAGGAGGTGGAAAATATTTAGGATTACCAGAACATATTGGTCGCAATAAAAAGGAGATTTTCAGCTTCATCGTCAACAGGGTTCGACAAAAAACAAAAGGTTGGTCCAATCGATTTCTTTCGGATGCGGGAAAGGAGATCCTAATCAAAACAGTGGCTCTAGCGTTACCGGTATATACTATGAACTGTTTTAAACTCCCCAAAGGAATATGTGATGATATCAATGGTTTACTGGCGCGATACTGGTGGAGCAAAGGACCGGATAAAAGATCAATGCATTGGTTGGCATGGAAAAGAATGGCATTACCTAAGAGAGAAGGAGGGCTAGGATTTCGAGATATTGAAAGCTTTAATACAGCTATGTTGGCCAAACAAGCTTGGCGAATTCTTCAATCTCCAACGAGTCTTCTCACCAAACTTCTTAAAGGAAGATATTTTGCAGAGACTAATATTTTGAATGCAGGCACGGGACCGAAACCATCTTTTATATGGAGATCGATCTTGGAGGGACGAGATCTCCTAAAAAAAGGACTTCGTGTTCTCATAGGAGATGGGAAGGCAGCAAATATTTGGACAGACCCATGGCTCCCAACACTCCCTCCGCGGCCACCTAGACTACAACTTGGTGTTAACTCAAACCTCACGAAGGTCCATCAACTCATGCATATAGATACAAAGTCTTGGAATAAGGAAGTTATTGAGGAGCTGATAATAGAAGAAGATGCTGATCTAATACAAACGTTGCGACTAAGTTCACAACCGGAACCGGATCTCTTAGGCTGGAACTACACAAAAAGTGGAGAATACACGGTGAAGTCAGGCTATTGGTTGAATACACATCTACCGGATCAACAAAACGAGTTTCCACCACCTCCGGGTTTAATGGAATTCAAGGAAGCAATTTGGAAACTGAAAACAACACCAAAAATCAAGCATTTTCTGTGGAGAATTGTTACTAACTCTATGGCAATAGGCTCGATCCTAGCAAGACGAAGAGTAACACGATATGCAATGTGTAAACGATGTTGTGCTGCTGAAGAAACCAAAGAACATCTTTTCTTTGGATGTCCCTATGCTCAAGCAATCTGGAGAGGCTCCAATGTCGCTCATGACTCTTTTTATGATTCTAATCTTTTTTTTGATGATAAATTCAGAAGGATCCTCCAATGTTGCAAGAACAAGAACTTAGACTCTCTCACGCAACAACTACCTCTATGGGTCCTATGGCGGATTTGGAAAAGTAGAAACTTGCTAGTCTATCAACGCAGGGGAAGCACTTGGATTAAAGATGTACAATATGCTATCACTGATGCTTATGAATGGGCTGCAATACAACAGAACCCAGACACAAGAATGCAGACATCATCACCACCGAGAAATTCTTGGAAGAGGCCAGAAATCAATTTTAAGAAATGCAATTATGATTGCAGTTTCTATCATAATGGGTCGGAGTCAAAAGCTGGGTGGATAATTCGAGATACTGATGGTTTTTATGTTGAAGCTTCGCAAAGCAAAGGAAGAGTGTGTAATTCACCATTAGAGGCAGAATTACAAGCTCTGCTTATGGCTATGCAACATGTCTGGATAAGGGGTATCAAAAACATCATCTTTGAAGGAGATAACAGACTAGTCCCAAAGCTAATCAAGGGAACTACAAGAGATTTTCAGTTACACAACCTGATTAGAGAAATCCAAGGTTGGCAAAGGCGTTTTACAAGTGCGATGATAATTTGGACACCACGGGGATGTAACAGGGCTGCAGATCGTCTGGCCAAGGAGCCCATTTCGAAT